CCAGTATTATACGGAATTTTGGTATGGTGGTTGCTTCAAAAGGTTTTTTCCAAGGTTTGATAGGTTGTATTTCAATGTTGTCCTGTTTATTCTCTAATTTGGTGACGTATCGTTTTATTTGTTGTTTGTGTATAGTATTACTGTGTTTCTGAAGGTGTTCCCGTCGGCTAAAAGAGTTGTTGCAGATGTAGCATATAAATCGTAATTTCGTGTCTTGGTGAATTTTAAAGTGTCGGTTGAAGTTACTTTTTGATCCTTTCAGAAACTTGTTGCAGGTTTTACATTGTCGTCGTTTTTGTTTGATATTTCGATGAAGTGCTCGTTATTAGTTGTTGACTGTTGTTTCTGTAAGTTACTTTGGATTTCCATTATTACTGTATCAAGCTGAGTCCGGATGGTGATCGTGTTTTGAATATTGATATAAGCGTATTTTTAGTTCTGAGGCGGATGTTGACGTTTCTAGGTTTTGATAATATCATAGTTACGTCGACGTCATTAACGTTGTGTTCATGTGTTGTGTAATGGCGAGAAACGGGTTTATAATTGTTGGCATTTTTTTTGTCTGCGAAATGGCCATATAGACGTTCTCTTATAGTATTACCGGTTTGTCCTACATATTGTATTCCACATTTGTTGCATGTTATTAAATAGATTAAACTGGATGAATTACAGACATACATTGTATGTGCCTTTGATATGAAAGTATTTTCATGTTGAATGAATTTTAACATATGATTTACTGCTGATATGTTTGCATGCGATACAATTTCTTTTACATGGGTGTGATCCTTGTGGTTTCATCTGGAGATTGATGTCTGATTTTGTGAGTGTGTTTCTTAGGCATGCTGGTTTTCGAAATACTGTACATATTTTGTTTTTATTAAACATTGTTAAAGTGGGGTCGTTTTCCAGGAGGTGGGTGTATTTAGAGATGATATTATTTGCTCTTAGAATAAGCGGGTTATGAGTAATTATAAGCGGTATAATTTCCTTTTGTGATTTAGTATCGACATTGGTATCAAGATCGGTAATTTTGGCTTTTTTGATAGGTTCGTATATTAACTTTCTGGGGTAACCGCGTGCAATAAGGTTTTCCGTAAGTTGTTTTGTGCATATTTCAAATTGTTCGTCAGTGCTGCATATTCTCCTTATTCTGACGGCTTGGCTATATGGGATACTTGCTTTTTGGTGACGTGGATGGAATGAGCTATAGTGTAAATACATATGTGCATCCGTTGGTTTTGTGTATAGTGTGGTCGATAATTTTCCTTTTAAGTCTTTGTTGACAGTAACATCCAAAAAGATTGCTGATGTTTGGTTTATGTCTACCGTAAATTTGATCGTTGTGTGGAAACTATTTAAGGCCGTAGTGAAGGAATTCAAATCCTCTCTCGAGTGTGGCCAAAGTACATAAATATATCGTCAATATATCTCCACCATACCAGTGGAGATATCGGGTATTTCGCTAGGAACTCTTGTTCTATGTTATCCATTAAATTATCGCATAGCTAGGTGCGCATTTGGTACCCATCGTTGTTCCGGCCATTTGTTCATAAAATGTATCGTTGAATCTGAAACTTGTTTTCTTGAGTATGAAGTAAAATATTCTTATTAGGATCCAGGTTTTAGGTTCTTGTTCAGATCTTTGTTGTAGTGCATATTTGGCTGCTAAAATGCCTTCTTTGTGTGGAATATTAGTGTAAAGTGCTGTCACATCTATTGTGACTAGGAATGCGTCTTTAGGTACGTTGTTTAATTCGTGTATTTTTTTTCTAAGAAATTACGAGTATCTTTAATATATGCTGGGACTTTGCGTGCTAGTATTTGTAAAAAGTGATCTACAAATTCGGATAATTTTTCTGTAGGACTTCCACAAGCTGAGACAATGGGGCGTCAGCGGTTATTTGGCTTATGAATTTTAGGTAATAAATAGAAGATGGGTGTCCTGCAATTTTTCGCAGTAAGGTAGCTGATGTGTTGATGTGACATAAGGGAGTGTTTCTTAAGATATGTAAAAAAAAGTGTTGATCTCTCTGGTGGATTTGTTCGTAAGATCGGAGGGTGTAGTCCTGTATGTGTTTTTGTCGTTGAGTTGTCTTAGACTTTCGGCAATGTAATCTGATTTATTTAAAATGACTATCGCTCCATAATTATTATTATGTCATATTTTATGATAAAAAAGAGATTCAATCCGATAAAATAATTATAAAATATTTTCTCCACTATCAAAATTATAGTTATGAAAGGTGGAAAGTCTACAATATACTCATTTGCCAAACAATGTGGAACACAGGAAATCATCGTTTCGGCGACTGAGGTGAATTCTGGCGGCATATTGCTGCAGCATTCATTAACATCAATAAAAAGAACTAAAATTCATAAGCTTACCTAATTCAAGTCCAACGAATATCAACATTCTATATCGATTTTTTTTCTGTTTCACAGTATTATTTTACTTGTCGCAGCCATCTTGGAGTCTGGTACATGCATTGATATATGCGATATGATTGGACAAGCCCAATTGGACGTCCAATTAACTTTCCAATTTCCTAATGGATTGTCTTCAAACTTGAACAAAATAGTCTTTTAGGATAGACCTTCAAGTTAACCCGACAGACCTTGACCTTCACTCATAAATGACCTAGACCTTAAGTTAAACGTCAAATTATTGAAATTTTCAATGTTTCTGTAACTTGCTATAACTTTGTTATTAATAAATGGATTGACTTCATATTATAACATTACATCATCGTAAGGATGTTCTAAAACTCATAATGACCCTTTTTTTTGCGACGGACGTGTCCTCAAGCGCGTTCAGAGCTTTGTCATCTACACATGGGATTTCGTCGGCTACAATCGAGCAAGTGTCCTCAACCGCATAACAGCCCAAGAAATAGTACATGAATTTGATACTCTAAAGCTCCCATACTTTTTCGGGATATCTTAAAAACTTCCATATTTAGCCTTTTCAATTTCAAATTAAGTTATGCAAGTTAGAATATGAACGTATTTGATTGATAAAAACGCTGTAGCCCCGTAGTATTATTACGCAATATGCAAATAACTGCTGAAACGATTTACCGCTGTCGAAATAGTAGGACAGCAAATTATGCTATAATTAAGGGGTAAGCTCAATAATTTCTAGAAATTATAAGTAGGAAATAAATATTTCTCCATTAAACAAAGCGTTTTTATAAAAGAGCAAAAGTTTTTTCGTGACTCAGCAATTCTAGAATATCTCAGGCATTAATTTCATAATTTTCTAGGTCACGATATGAGTTAACCTGCTATCAGCTAATATGAGTTGTGATAGATTATAATAGATAACACTATTCTAAAAATAGATTTTACCCCATCACCACTACATCACCTGTGCTTACTTTCGGACAAGCGATTATCATTTAAAAGGGACTTATATCAGCATATAAGCAGAGTAGTTAAAGATAAAACCTTAGTATTTCATAACATAATAAAAACTAATGAGAGATGAAGTATCGCTTACACAAAAACGAACGTTTTAACTGATCCCGCGTTGATTGTTTCACTTTATATTAAGATATAATACTGTTAAAGATAAAAGTAGTAAAACGATACATACGCATAAATTATGTTTAATATGAAGTATTCGTAAAATTAAAAGTCTATTTTATTTATAAATAGAATAGAATAGAATAACTTTTATTTCCAATCAAGGGTCATGCTAATTGACGTATAAATCACAATAGTAAGGAGATAAAAAATAAAAAGGTGGTAAAGAAAATAAAACTTGATTTGTATTATAGCAATAACAATGATCTGGAAATAAACAAAATAACTAATAAACTAAACTTATATATTTAACATCATATTAAACTTATAATGATGCTTAGATACAAATTAACTGTATTGTTGTATCATGTTTGTAAGTATTCCTTTAAATTACACCAAGTTACACAAAATTTATACCTGTAGTGAAGCTGTACTGTAGAGAAGCATTCTTCAACCAAACTAACCAACATATGACTTCAATTCAAGTAGAACTACACGTACTGTTTTGCACACATGTCCTTGAAAAACACAAATACAGAGTAATATCAATTAACGTTTTCTCAGTATCATTTCTGAGTTTCTAAAAATAAAAATAATATCTGCAAATTGTATCACGATTATTGCACCTTTCTAAACCTTTCACAGTCTCTCAAAATCTATATTAACTAATACACTTCTCGAGGACTGGTGGCGATTATAAATAAACCCTCTCCCCATACACACATTACATCTTTCAAAGTACTGCATTTTCTCACACGTTTGAAGTTTCTAAAACTTTAAAAGTTTCATTTTCAATTTGTTACTTAGAACTTTGATTTCAAAGTGTAATATGCCTCCCATACAGCCAGCATAAAAGGAAGGGAAAGAAGTCAAAGAGGAAGAAGAACACCAAGGTCAGTAGAGTTGGTGTTGGGTGTGAATATGGTCAAAAGAATAAGAGAGGAAAACACATGGTATACGTATACTGTCCGATAGCCGACCGGATATCTCACGGCCTTTGCCCGTATACCTTACAGTCCCGTAACCCATACAATGGTTTTCACCGCTTGACTGTGCGAGTATCCTTTGGAAATTGTCCGAATACCTACCTGGACCAAAGAGAAGGAATGACCACCCCCTTCTTCACGGACAGTATTAAATTGTTTATGTCTCAAATTATCAACAGTGTCCCACCGATACATCTATCTCGGACGGTCGATGCTTGTAATATGGCGTTGGCTTTAATGAGTTCCTTTTTGTTAATATGGTACCGTAAATGATTTATTTTGCAATGGCAAAACTTTATGGTATTTTATCATTATAAATACATGTGTTCTCATTAATATCCATTCCATTGTCAAAAGCAACATTTACACAGTCAAATAAATGGAATATTAAGTTTAAAAAAATGAAGGTTTTATTGAACTTATAATGTATCGGTAGATATTTACATTCAGGAAGAAGAAATTACACGTTTTACGTCAATGGATCTCTGCGCATGTCCATTTTGAAACTTGCGTAGTCTGTTATGTTAGTGTTCTTATCACATACGGTTTAAATGGTTTATTGTAAGGAAATTAAAATGACTTAAAATTGAGGGTTAGATTATACTGTGACAATGTATTTAATTGTTTATTTTGCTGTTATTTTTGCTGGAATGCTCACAGGTAATTTAAATATTCAATTCAATATTTTATTTACCCTTTATACGTTTTAAATTAATCCTTAATTAAACCGAGTTTAAACTATTAAGACAGACTACGAATGAACAGTATCAAAACGCTGTTTTTGAAAATGATGATAAAAAATTCAGACATGTTGAAAATGAAAATAAAACTATTTGAAGCTATCAAACGAGTTACTCTTTGATTTTTAATAATTCATTTTTAAACTTTGGTACAGCATTTGTAACATTCAACTACTAGAGTACTTCGTTCGTGATTCTGATCGATAAGCGACCAATAAATGTATACATATGGATACCTTTAAACACAATGTTGGTAAATGTAAAAATTCTCTTTGTCCACTGAAATGAATGTATGTCAATGCATTTTTTAAATCTTTTTATTCAAAACTGACTGTTACTGTAAATGACCTTACAATTTTGCATATTAGACTCACCGTTTAATATAGAACAATGCGTACACAAAATATGACCTGTAATTGTATTGCAGCATGATTTTTTTTATTTCAGATGCAGCTGCAATAGACTGCTTCAGTTCAGATCTAGGTAAAATGGAATTCGACAGGCTGACATATTTTATTTGATAGATACATAATTCAATCCCAAATCCAAACCTTTAAATCCTTATTAAAGATCTTAAATACTTTTTATGTTTTAAATTGTAGTAGCATTTTAAGTTTCATGTATTACATAATCTCGGATAAATACAATTGTTTCAAGGGTAAACCAAATTTTACAAAAGATTTCATGATGACAATTTACTTATGATGTAAATAAAACGGACTGTTATTTTTACAAATAATTGAAGAAAATAAAATCATATACAATGTAATAGATTTGTGTTGTTAGAACAAATGTTATTTCTAAAATGTTTCCATCTTCAGAAGAAATAGTCACCATATATACATTGATAATGTTTTTGTTTTTGCAATTTTAGATGTTTGCAATGCAGAAATTCCCGAATTTCCAAATTTATCGTCAAGAGATCCCACATTTGTAATTACCAACAAAACGTCAAATGCGACATATTGTGATGTGTATTCAATAACCACATCTCAATGGTACAAAAGCGAAGCAAGAATGAGTGTAAGTTGCCCAGGCATGTACATGTGTGGCACAAAATTCCCTATCTGGATGGTCGGTAAGTTAAAAAAAATATGAATATTGTTTTAAAATGTATTGTTCAGCTTCGATTAAAACCTTAGAATTTGAAAACAATAAATATATTTGCACCCGTTAAGTTCCCAAATATTAAGCAAAATACTTGATAGATACTGTTGTTTTTACAAATAATAATGAGTATACGATAAATAGATTATATATTTAATGAAAAAGTGCATAAGTGTATTTCATTACATGTGTGTAGGTAAGAACCCAGAGCCGGAAGAAGGTGTGGTGAATCGTACATCCTGTCTGAGAGACTTTGATAGTTGTTGTCTGAATATCTACAAGATGACAGCTGTCAATTGTGGAGAATTCATGGCTTATTGTATAATTGATCTACCATCCAGTTGTCATCAAAGATATTGTTTTGGTAATCATTTACTAGTTTTCATATTTAATAAATATACATTTAATCTGTATGAGGCAGTATGTATAATAATCAATTGGAAAAGCAACGCTTCTTTTCGCAGGAAAAATATAACTTGAAAATATGATAAACAAGGTTGCACGATAATATATATGTTTTTTAAGACATTGGACCATTATCAACAATAGATCCACAACACACTAACGACATGCCAACTATACAAAGAAGCTCCACCAACAACCCTCCTGATATTGGTGTTTCAACCACAACCAGACAAATGCACAGTACAAGTGCTACTAGTCATTCATCAGGAAATGGTATATGTCATAGTTTAGTACACTTTTTTTCGGTTCTATTAATATTTTTTTAACAAAATAGCTTTCCTTCACATTTACTTTTATACCACATACATAGATAAGTAATTAATCATTCATTCCTGTACTGATTCCGATCCGAGAAGATCGGTAAGATCAATATAATTGTTTTAATTCTGTGTGTGGAATTTAAGTTTTATCAGTTTATTTAAGTTTTATCAGTTTAACGTTTATCTTATGTAGTGGTTAGTGTATTCCTTCTCGAATGGCGTTATACGATATATTTCCTTCCTTTAAACCTTTGTGATGCGTCTAAATTCCTAATTAAACATCATGTTTTGTGTTAGTGTTAGGTTCTACTTCCAAAGTGCTAGGAAGCGATGAAGTGACATTTCACTTATTACTGCTATCCGTAAACGAACTGAAACATTTTTTAATTTATCGTGTTTGCCGACATTTAAAAAAAAATTCTGTCCAAGCTTGATAATTGAAGGTGCGAGGGGGCGTGGACGGTAACTTGCACTTTCCAGTACCGTCCATGAATAGGCTCAATCAAACCGAGCTTGCAACATTTTCAATTTTGTCGTGTTGGGCTTTCTTTAGGGATTCTGTATTTCTCTATATTATTTTGAAAATTTTCATTTCAGTAATAATTTGAAAAATACTATCAGTATTGGTAATTGTTTTTCATAATCTTGTTAATCTTGACATATCAATGACAAACTTATGACATGAGTTTTACGCGTAAATTTGTAATAAATACTAGTAAATCAAATCTAATATTTTTCATCTTTAGATAACAGCTCTATCCAGATCACTATTGCATTATCAGTGATTTGTCTTTTGATAGCAGTTATCTGTGGATTATTGATCGTTATCATCCGGAACAAAAGGTATGTTTTGTCCACCTTTGTTTTGATATCAACGGTAAACGATGTATATATGGTATATACTTCCTGATGGTCTCCAATCGTATAATTTTAGTTTTATGTAATGTTGCATATGCTGAATTAAACAATGTTTAATTTTTATTTCGTTTCGTTACTGCAATGAATTGCTTTCCATACCAAATTATGATTCAATGCTAGGGTACTATGAGTGCATTATAGTTTGACATTTCCCGTAACGTATCATATATCTTTCGCATTGGAACGGAGTAATTAATTACATTGCAATGCGAAATGTGCAACATTATCTGATTATTACATGTAAAATATAAGTATATATGTATTTCCATAATAAAATGTGTGACAAAAATGAGTTGATATAAATCATTTAACGATGTTAGTAAAGAGAATATGTGTTTTGCGTCATTTGATTCCCAAACGTCATGTACAGTACACCTTTTATATAAGTATCTGTTCAGTAAAGCGGTAATTTAACCAGATGAGAATAATTAACCCAAATTTTAATTTTGTTTAATCTAAATGCTTATTTAATTTACTATAAATTCGAATTATTTACAGAATCGCAAAGATAATCGATGAACCTGAGAAAGATAAAAAGTATGAGAAATTAGAAATAGCGGCTGTTGGTGCAAATGAGAAAATTTATCCCGTCCTGACTCAAGACACTATAGAACAAGGAAAGTTCGGAGTTTGCTTCAACAAGACAGATCTCATTAATGTTGAAAAACAGCTGACCACCGCTGCCAAAAGAAATAATTAAATCATGCGACTGTTTTCATACTAACTAGATAGAAACTACATGTAAAAGTGTTACTTTTCATTTCACTTGCCCTATATGCTTTTGATTGTCATGTTGGAGTTCTGTTTTGCTAAGCAACTGTTTACTATAATGAATACGCATAAAAACAATAACATTGACAACATCACAAACTCGAAGATAAAATATCAAATCATTATCAAATTTGATCGTGTAAACGATGGCTTCTCGTCTTAAATTGTATTGTTTCAATGTTTATGTTGAACATTTGAAGAGTTATCTGACAATCTCGAGATATCATATCCTTTAAAGGCTTGTGTTTTCCTAAAACTATTGTTACAAGATGTTTTAAAGTAATAAAAGGGAATTACACAATTATTTTGTCTTTTGAACCGAGTCTTCTTTGGAGAAATGAACTCCTATAAAATCATGCCTCATTTCTAATTCAAATAATAACAACCTTACATCACAAATTATTTCCTTGTTGGGTTAAGCAAACTAATGTTATTTTATTATTGAATGTCCTCTGTACCAAGATATTAGACAATTGCATATGAAAAATATGTTTGGAGAAAACCTAATCTTTTAAATTTACAGAATTATTTCATTCTGAAAATGTATGGATAGTTAAAAATTAGATATATTTATTTTCAAAAGTTTTAATGAATGAGACAATGCACTGTATCAACGATAATCATGTCCGTTCAGTGTATTATACATATATTATATATAATATTTGTTATTATGAAGAAGAATTGACTTTAAAATAGACCGATTTCGTGTATTTCATGCTAACATCATATTATTGACGCTATGTAAATACCAATTGTATTAGTACTGTTTACTGATTGGCATATTGCCTTTGTATAAATAAAGTTTATCATATGTCATTTAATCGGATATTTTCCCTTTAACTACACATGTGTGTAAAAACCTTACTTATAATAGATAATTGTTAATACAAAATAAATATGATAATTTTGATTTAGATCTTTTCATTTATCCTCATTAATGTAGTAAGTAATATTTTAAACAACATTTATTTTGCACGGAAACTGTGAACATTGTATACCGCCATTTATGCGCCTAGATGATCAATTGTCAAATACATTTTGGTGCTTCAGTTGGTCTGTCATCACGATCGTGTTGACGTTCTACCTGTTGTCAAACATACAATCGCTTTCAAAGCAAATAAAGAACCATATTACAAAAACGATTAGACAATAAATATTGGCAAGTTCATGCTTGCCTTACATATTGCAACTTTATGATCGCTTTAACATTTATGATAAAATACCACTTAAACAGGTGCTAAGGCCAGCATTTTCAAATACATACAATAAACATATTTATAAATCACAGCAGTCATGTTTGTGCGTGAGGAGGCCATAGAAAGACGATCGAAGAAATTTATACTCCCGATCCTTGAAGATCGTTTAGTACGACTAAACTGTTGCTTTTGTGGCATTATTAGAATTATAGTCTTCAATACTGTTCAATCACCCCTAGGATATGTTGCCTGCTTTTAAAATTTGTCTGTTGACGTCTTATCTGAGATATGAAGGCTTCTAAACAGCCGACATTAGTGCGTTCAAAATTTCATTTCATTTATTTCCAATCATTGTTTTCCTGTCTACGGTACACGAATATTTTTCTTTTCATTTTGGACCATACGCCGCTTTTAATGGAATGACACTAACGATTCACATTGAAGGTTCCATGATAACCGCAATATGATCACATCTACGGATTGTAAAATTTTATGTAACTTTAGCAGGTGCTTCAGGTGGGGTTGACGGTAAGTCGCACTTTCCTGTACCGTCCTTAAACAGGTTCAATCAAACCGAGCCTACATCATTAATTTGCCTTTTTAGGCATTCATTCTGGATTAAGATTTACTCTATTTCATGTCTGGTTTTGTGATGTAACAAAATAGTTTGACGGAAAATAATTTGAGGCCCTGAACTCGTGTTTGAATTTTGGACTTTTGCTCATTTCAAGGGCAGATAAATTCGCAATCGTATAATGACTTATATCCTCTGTTGTCCCTGATTTGCCTTACAAATGATGCAGTATATCAATAATTGGCGGCAAAGAACTTTTTGTCAATCTTTCTTTCTTAAATATACATACGGAAATGCTACTAAAATGATAAATTTTAGAAGCATTTTCAGCCTCTTAAATTACATAAATTGCGTAAGAAGTGAACATAATCATTTATGAAATGCTATAAACTTTTGTTTTATGATAAATATCAAAATGGTAAAACATAAATCAATAGTATAATCAAAATTTGTCTCTACTTATGTTCAATATAGAAAAAAAGCTTGATTGCCAATCTTTTCATTTTGCTTAAGTTTTTCTGTTAGATCATGCAACGTTAAAGTAAATTCAGTTTACATTCTGCCTATTTGTCTTTATGTAATTGACAGGAAAATCAAAATACATTTCTTTGAAGAATATATCAGATATAGTATTGGAACTTTCAAACAAATTATGAAAATACTTAAACATCAAGTAATCGGGTTTATTATATTTCCGATATTTTTGTTATATTTCCGATCCTTAAAGATCATTCAGCATGACATAATTGTTGTGCTTGTGGTATTTTTAGTTTTAACTTTTCGGCATTTTCTAGTTGTGTGGTTCCAATATTCCTACTTGAATAATGTTGAATCACCCTTAGAATATGTTGCCTGCTTTTTAACGTTGTCTTTTGACGTCTTATCTGTGATATGCAAGAGTCATAACCTCAGATCCCATTTAAAAATTCCATTTTTTTTAGTTCCGCCCATTGTTTTCTCGTTTAGGGCACACGCTATTTATTACTTGAGGACCATACGCCGCTTTTCATGGAATGGCACAGAAGTGTCGCATTGAAGGTTCGATGATAACCGCCGTATGAACACATTTGCGGATGTTTCAAAATTCAAAATTTTACCATTTCAGGTTTAAATGTTAAATTCTGCTTAAGCCGGTGCAAGGGGGCGGCGTGGACGGTAATTTGCACTTGACAGTACCGTCCATGAACAGACTAAATCAAACCGAGCCTGCAACATTTTCAATTTTGCCGTGTTGGGCTTTCTTTGGGGATTCTTATTTTCTTTATTTTATCGCCACATCAGCGTTGTTTGTGCCGTGTGGAGGTTGTTAAACGTCGCCCCGTACATTCAATCAGAGATGTTATATTTCCGATCCTTAAGATCGTTCAGCATGACATAATTGTTGTGCTTATGGTATTTCTAGTTTTAACTTTTCGGCATTTTCTATTTGGGTGGTTCTTCAATATCCCATTTCAAAATTCATTTTTTTAGTTCCGCCCATTGTTTTCTCGTTTAGGGCACACGCTTTCTATTTTTTGGGGACCATACGCCGCTTTTCATGAAATGGCACAGAAGTGTCACATTGAACGTTCCATGATAACCGCCGTATGAACACATCTGCGAATGTTTCAAAATTCAAAATTTTACCATTTCATGTTTAAATGTTGAATTCAGCTTAAGCCGGTGCTAGGGGGCGTGGACGGTAATTTGCACTTGACAGTACCGTCCATGAATAGGCTCAATCAAACCGAGCCTGCAACATTTTCAATTTTGCCGTGTTGGGCTTTCTTTAGGGATTCTTATTTTCTCTATTTTAACCGTAGGGCATTGGGGTTTTGGTTTGTTTGTTTCATTGAGAAATATACTGATTCAATATTTTTCATTGAAAATTACGTTGCCCTTATAAACATGCAAAAAAAGCAACTAATATATTCTACATAAATAAAAGTACCTTAAAATATTATCAAGGGGTATTTTAGAGCAAATCCATAATTTTCAAAAATACTACAGCAGTTTCAATATACCTCTTGAGATAACGATTAAAATCGTCAGCAGAGAAAAGGAAGTGTAGCACGCGATTGGCTGACCTCAGACATACGCCTTAATATCAAATGTTTTTGAGTGCTTAAAAAATAAAGTTTACCTCCCAGTGACAATAAATTTAAAGTCGTTTTTAGAAAATGCTTTAAATTGCATTCCATTTCAAATTAATTATACAAAAATAATGTCTTTGAAAGCTTTGTCAAATAATACATGAGGTAATGGGTAATACATTTTCCTTATTAAAACGCATTTAACAATTAGATAAAGCGGGTGTGGGTTCAAATGATGACATCATTTTTATTTCGCTTAAAGGTTATCACGCAACGTTTGTATCAATTTTATTATCATGCAGGAAGTGAAGAACATGATTGGCTGATTTCAGTCAGGTTACCTAATATAGATCTTTATGAGTGCTCATGAAAATAAAGATTACCTCATAGAGAGAGATAATTCATAGTCATGCCAATTGACTGACATATGAGATAGCCAAGTAGCTGTATATTAAAATTAATGAAAAGATGTTTATGTTCTTAAATTGAAAAAAGAAATTCTCTTTTGGCATGTTTATGGTCACTTGTTGCACGATTTTCTGAAACATATTGTTTTACAATATGCCAAATGCAGCCATTGAAATGTAGAAAATAAAATATTTATTATTTTTAATTGGTAAGAAATAATTAAAATTAGAAATCGAGTGTCTAAAATAGAATAGATGTTTCTGCAGTAATAAAATAGTCATGGTAAAAAGCAAATCCTCTGTATGATACAAAATATCGTAAAATAGAGTGAAATAAGAATCCCTAAAGAAAGCCCAACGCGACAAAATTGAAAATGTTGAAGGCTCGGTTTGATTGAGCCTGTTCATTGACGGTACTGGCAAGTTGCAAACTACCGTCCATGCCCCCTGGCACCGGCTTAAGCAGAATTCAACATTTAACATGAACTGGTAAAATTTAGAATTATGAAACATCCGCAGATGTGTTCATATGGCGGTTATCATGGGACCTTCAATGTGACACGTTAGTGCCATTCCATGAAAAGCGGCATATGGTCTCCAAGTAAAATAATGCGTGTGCCCTAAACGAGAAAACAATGGGCGGAACTAAATAAAATGGAATTTTGAAAGGGGATCTGAGGTTATAAAGTCTGCATATCACAGATATAACGTCAAAAGACAAATTTCAAAAGCAGGCCTCATATCCTAAGGGTGATTCAACAGTATTCAAGTGAGGAATACTGGAACCACTCAACAAGAAAGATGCCGAATAGATAGAACTAAAATACCACAAGCACAACAATAATGCCGTGCAAAACGATATTTAAGGATCGGAAATATAACATCCCTGACTGAATGTACGGGCGACTTTTTACAGCCTCAGGTCATAACGCCCTTGTCTATTGTTTGCTATAATGTACTATGCACTATTATGGGTATTATTTGGTATCACTTCCTAATGAAATAGATATAGCATATTGTGTGAGTGTGCATTGAACGTCCTTCAAAAAGTGTAGAGAATTAACATAATTTATGTTTCATTATATATAATAAGAAATCTGGAAAAGGGCTATTAATGAAAACAATAGCGTAATCTCCATGGGGTGAAATGTTTAGGTGCAACATCTCGAACGGACCTTGCCACCCTGGTTTGGACAATCTTTAACACCTGCCACACAGCACTTGACACCTGATGTTGTGTGGGGGCATTGAAAACAACAATAAAAATGACAATGGCATATTGAGTTTGATTTTGTTAATGAAAGAATGTGACATAAATACATTTGGTAGACAGAAAATCAGTCTATCAACATAATATAAATACGGTGTTGTTTTTTTTTTTTTTTGGTGTTTTTTTTTCAAAATAAAATCTCACGTATTAAATGTTATGTATATTGCTTTGCTCTAATTGTTTGATTAAGTAGGATAGTTATACTTTTGATAGATTAAATCAAAGCACAGACTGCTTAGAGTATTCTCAATACAATGAAGCGAAAACAATAAAAAATACAACAATTTTTATTATATGTTAAAATTCATAGCCCCTCAAGTAAATATGATTCGCAATTTTCTTTTTAAAGCTATTAATACTTATACGTGCGGTTTGATAACACATTGTTCTGAATAAACGACATGTAAGATCATTACTTCCGCTACGTTTAAATATTGAAGTACTGTCTTTGACAAGATCAAAAACTACGCAGATAGCGATGAAGGCAATTCGGATTATTTTTGTGCTTTCTGTTGTTTGTACTTCATTGGTTTGTAAGTTTTATTTAATTATAACTTAGACACATACGTATGAGAAGCAAATATTAAAAAAAAAACAAAAAAAAACCCAGAAAAATAAATAGGAATTTAAAAGATTTTTCTGCAAATTTATACTTATGCATTTTAAGCTATAAATCGCGGATTTTACTGTTTTCATTGATAATTTAAAGGAACACACCTATTCTTATTTACAGTTGAAAGATAAATACGATCATTGCAAGATAATAAACGGATTTAACAATGTAACAGCAGGGGAAAAAATGTTGATTATTTTAGGTTTTTGAACAATAAAAAATTGAAATTGAAATTTTATAGAGACACTGAAGTGAGCCAGTCATTATAACTATCAATAAAAAGAGTTAACTTAATAAATGCCACACATGGCTTGCTTTATATGGACAGTGGTAATTAGTGCGAGTTATCTTCAACATCATCTGGCACCTGTTTAAGCAAAACATAACATTTAACCATGAAATTTTTATTTTGAATTTAAAAGCACGTACAGTTTTTTCAATTTACGGTACTTAATTAACAGAATTTGAAAAAAAAATACAAAAAATAATTGTTAGTATTTTTCATTTGAAACCGATTCGTGCTTGACAATGAAAGGTACCATTTCAATTGAGGAATTGACCATACCTTTATTACCTGGCAAATACCAATATAGCTGTTTTACGTTTAAATTTCTTTGGCTCAAAAATAAAAATAGTTTTTATTTGAATAAAAATACCTTTATTTATCATGATAACGGTGCACACCGACAACCTCATTTATGTCCAATAAACAAAATCATACACAAAAAAATAATGATAAGAATAATAATTACCATCATCATCCTTATTATTAAGCATTGGTTTATCATGAGTTATAAATTGTTGGTTTAAAGTTTGTTTCAATTTCTTACTACAGATAGCAGCTGCGTTGAAAATGTTACGGAACTACCCAACATGCCTCTCCGTCAACCGAGCAGGCTATTGGAAGATGGACCACATATAAGTGATGACAATCTGAACTATGAGTGGTACGGTGTTGTACATAATGGATGGCAATATATTATGGTTGACTCGACACAAAGGCCAAATTATACGAGCTGTTTTACATATTATCCTGTTTACTTAAAAGGTGAAATTAAACTTACAATTAATAAACTTTACCAAAAAGAAACGCATATGATTCTTTAAGTATTGTTTTAATAGTGCATATAAAATAATCACGTGACAATCAATAAATAATTAATTTGATATAAAAGAAACATATTGTATTATTTATTCCTTAAAATATACAGTTAGTAAAGGTTTATGGTATGACTGTAAAATGGTTTTCCTTTACCCGACGAATGTGACTGTAATTTGGTGTAATTTAGTGGTTCTACAATAACATTAACGAAACTGTAGATTTAGTGTTATAACTTTATACTCATTAAATATGATGTAAAAACATTAACTTGTATTCCTTCACGTTGGTATACTATATATTCTAACACTCCACGTGATTTTGTCAGTATAGACAAAGAAGAAAAAAAACCGGTGTTAAACTGCCAATAAACACTGGTTAGGGACTTTTTGTATATGCAGCAGTTACGTTTTCACCCCCGATTATATAGTTTATAAAGCCTTTTAAAGCAACAATAAAAAAACATTTTTATTAATATTATCAGTTAATTAATTATTAATATCAGTTCTTATAATGTTTTCTTTTCATACAATATCGAAATAATCTCATATACACTGACGCCACATATTTGATCCATATCAGTTAATAACTATTTTGACAAAACGGCGTCAATCCGTAAGCAGCGTAATGACGTCATCCTAAGTAAAAAACTCATTCATAAACAAGCTAACGTTATTTCAAACATACATACATACATACATACATACATACATACATTCTATTCATGATAAATGGGGCACTGATGTAAGTTTACACAATACGACGTAAGTTTTTATTGTTGAAAACTTGATAAAATAACGATTTTTCTTATTATTTTGTTTGTTTAATAATTTCTATATCTTCGCAACGGTAGGGTGCGAAAATCGAACAGCGTTATACGAAAATCGGCACCGGAAGATATTTCCGCTTGAAGAAATAACATTAGTGATCTTCCTTATTTAATCTTGTTAGAATCGAAATAACATCGGTCTTAGCGGTGTTTATCGGCTATTCAACACCGGTTTGGAGTTTTGATGCGTAGGAATTGACCACAAAGGAATTACAGAACCTGAAGTTCATACAAAAAAGAAACGCACTATTACCGATTCACGCGTATATGTTTCACGCAACAGTAGTGAAATTCTACAGTATTGAATTTTTACCTATATATACTTGAAATAAATTTTTAGATTTTTTTTCTTTATAGATAAACACCCATCGATAGATAAATTAACTGAGACACCAACAAATGTCGTAGCCTGCCAACGTGATTATGTGATTCCGTGTTATATACAACATCAAGTGAAGATAAGGAAATGTGGAGATGAAATACAGTACTACCTGCCCCCGACAAAGTCATATAGTGCATTCTGTTTCAGTAAAGTGTATACGTTTATATTTAAATGTACAAAAATTCCAACGTAATACATTGGTTCATGAGAAACTCTTTGAAATCTTTTATAGAAAACTTTCAAATGAATACTGATATATGAGAAATCAAATCTTTATACATCTACAAAAATTTCATACTGATATTTTTAGTGATAAGAAAAAACTGATTTTAAATTGCATGATAAGATTTTTCAAATGTTATATAACGAAACACATTAAAATTGTAATGAGTTTTAATTGCAGGTAATTATTCCCAACTGCACATTACACCTGATATATCAGACGTTGAACTTGGAAACATAGATATAGCACCAGAGCTCAGATTCAATGAAAATGCGAGTGTTTCTCCATTTGGAAAATCAACACGTTTCGACCCGTATTTTCAGTTCCGATGTTTGTACAATGTACAAGAGGCTTTCTATTACAAAGTTAGCTGGTAGGTTCAGACTTGGCGTTATTTTTCATTTGTTTCATTGACACTTCAAAACTCATAAAGCGACCTTGGATTTTTGTAATTTTGTTGTGATTAATGCTTCCGAGGGATTACTTTGTTTTCAGATTTTTAAACTTCACAACAGCAGGTGTCAACCCAGCAAACACAAGACGTCATACTGACGTCAGATTTAAGTCAGGTTCTGACGTCGGATGACGGTCGGAAAAACGGTTGGATTTGAAAGTTTTTTTGACGTAATAATCTGACGTCAGGTAGACGTCAGAATCTAACCATTATTTAACCTTTTTCTGACCATTATCTAACCATTTTCCGACCTCAATCTGACCATTTTCCGACCTAAATCTAACCAGTTTCTAACCATTTTCCGACCTCAATCTGACCATTTTCCGACCTAAATATTAACCCTTTTCTGCCCTAAATCTGGTCATTTTCTGACCTTCATCTGATCATTCCCCTAATCTTTTTTGTTTCACCACGTCATAAATATTTTCTGGCTAATCCTGATTTGATCGAATTTAATGTAACTCATTCTATTAAGTAACTTTCCCTCCAATGAAATGTATAACAGAAAACTAAAAGCAAAAATATGTTTTATGCTTTTTTAATTTAAAATAAAAATTGCAATTTTAAGCTGATACATACAATTTTAGTAAATTCTGCAAGGTTAAATAATTTTCATAAATTAAACAAAATAAAACATAATTAAAATAAGTTAATTACAAAACAAAAAGGGATTACAAAAACAATGACATAAATGAAACTAAGAAAACATGTACAAATATTAAAGAACAAAATAATGTATGCACATTTCTATCAAAGTCTGCCTTATCAAATAAAATAATAAAAATATTATAATTTTAAGAAAAGTTAAAAGATTCTGATAATAATGTTTCAAGCAATTAATTTTCAGTATTTTAACTATATTTCTACAGCATTTCTAAAACATTTAGTGCCATTTTGCATATTTTGACCTCCTTTGATAATTGTCAGTAATGTATAAATTGCTGCCTTTTAGTTACTTCACAAAGTTATACTTTTAGATATCCATGAGAATTAGCACGAATTTTGAGGTGTGATGCTTTAAGATATGACCTTCTTTCAGCACCCCTCGTCTGTCCGGAGGATATGTAGCGTTTGTAGCGTCCAATAGCGTGTGTGACATCATTTTCACTGAAAAAAAAAGAAATTTATGAAACATGTAAAAATAACAAGCAAAAATGTTTTCATGGTTATCTTAACTTAATGAACAATTTTGCTAACTTTTTATAAGAGAGCTTTAACAAAAATTAAAAGTAAACATAAATACTGAACATTTAAAAAGCCGCTTTTAAACTCCAGTTTAGTATGGATTAAAGTATGTTATAGAATTTACAAAAATCTTACTTTCATATGTTTCTTTTTTCATATTCACGTGTTTCCGTCCCTCCGACCTTTGAGAGCATGTCCAACACTTTAACTACCTGAAAAGAAAATTATATTCTAACTTATGTATATATTCTACGTTTGAAATAGAACAGTTACGCAAGTCTTAAATATTTCATAGTTTTAAATTAAAGATTTAATGCCGAAATGTCTGGAACCAAAACGTCTTGGGTTATTTGGGACCGGAACGTTTTGGGTTATTTGGGACCGAAACGTCTTGGTCCGAAATGCTCGAAATCGTACAAATTCATTCTCAATTCTCAGATTTTAACTGACAAAAACATCACAGTTTAAGAAAAATATGAAAACTAAGCATTCTCTTTGGTAGTACTGAAAGGCATATTATAAACTCTTTACAAGCAGAGTTAAAACATGTCAATTTTAAAAAGATTTATTATTAGACATTATCGCGAATTTGTGTGACATTTCACTTCAGCTGTTCAAATAATGATAATTAAATTTAAGAGTGCTTACAATCATGCAATTATTTATCAAATACAAAGTAGAAATAAATCTAAATAAATTGAACTGACCTTTTTGTTCAAGAAAATCTATAATATTCACTTTATCAGTGCATCCCGATTCCTGACCGACAGCCAAAACGTAACGCCTACGAATTTGAATTTCCATCCACGTGACTTTAGATTCGAATTATAGGTTAATTATGTTTTCTTTCCCTTTTCTGTCACTATGATTAAATGTTAAAGCACTATTAAAAAACTCGTGATTTTGATACATATAATGTACCACAAATGATAATATTATAACGTTTGTAAACAGATATGTGGCTATAAATAGATTTCATAACAATAACACATGTAACTTGCCTATATACAGCGCCACCTATATGTTTTATTAGGTTGCAGCGCCGCGATCTTGGTCTGTATTTATATAAGAACATTTCATTTGTAATCCAAATAACATTTGAAAAAAAGTTTAAATGATTACAACAGCGAATAAGGATTATTTTTTGTTAATTTTTTACCTACTGTCAGGACACCGACCAGAACCTGACGTTAGCACGACGTCAAAAAGAAACGTCTAATAAACATCGGTTTTTAACGTCAGATTTACGTCGTATTTTGGTCGCCGACGTCGTGACCAAAATCTAACATTAATCCGACGTTATTTTAACGTCATGTGTTTGCTGGGAAGTGCTATGTGGCAGTTGTAAAAAGTTGCCCGTACTTCACGGCAGTGTTGTTACATTTTTCTGGTTCCTCGGGATCATTGATGCCAGCACTATTAAGTGTCGAGAATTGAGTATCGCTCGTACTGCTAAAGCCGGTTCTAGTCGGCGTGAGGGATGTTGCACTTATTCATTATCCTTCATGTGCAGACTCAATCAAACCGAATCTGCAATTTTCATGTAATTTTGTTGTGATTAATGCTTCCGAGGGATCAGTTTGTTTCTAGATTTTTGGAGCTTAATTGGTGGTAGGGAGCTCAAAATGTGCAGACAATTTAGTTCAAAATTCGGCTATATGTTGTATAGTATAGAACATTCCGGATATAGGAATTTATATTGTGTTCGAAAATATAAACATGCATTTTAAAGATATGCTATGCTCAAATTTAATTATAGAAAATATTGCTTATTGCTATACAGTCGCATTGCTAATATAAAATAAACATATTTGACTTCATACAAATTTGACATGGTGTGTTTAATACTCTACACACTAGAGGTGGTAACAATATGAATATATAGTGTCAATAATAAAAACGACTTGCAGTTTGTTTAAGAAAAGACAAACTTTACTTGACATGTAAAAGGGAACGCAGCTTCCCATACGCGGTTTATACATTCTTTTATTAAAATTATACAAAGTGAATAAGAATTTCATACTTTACAATAAATGTCTGCAATTAAAATATTTTATTCAAGGATGATAAAAGTATATCTTTATGCCATTTGAAAATCTTAATCGTTATTATGGTACATGTTATTGGATATCGCCTTTCGGCATTTATAAAGTTTTGAATACTAGACAATAATGATTCCTTCAAAATTGTATTGAATATCAAGAGTGTTTTGTGATTTTTTGGAGCGAATTATATTATGCTATTAAATGTTAAACAATAGAAGCCAATTTTTTATCAGTTCAATATGATACGCATCTGAAAATTGACATCGAAAGTTCTGAAATGATGTTTTGTTTGTTTGTTTGATTGGGTTTTACGTCACACAGTTTAGGTCATATGGCGACGTTCAAGCTTTGCTGGTGGAGGAATACCTAAGGTGCCCTTCTGTGCATTATTTTAGGCACGAACAGGCACCTGAGTAGAACCACTGACGTTCCGTAAGCTAGCTACATAGCTTCCTCACAAGAAGAATCCAAAGTGCCTGTCGGGATTCGAACCCACAGCGGTGAGGGCATATGGTTTGAAACGATGTTGTAGTCAATTATTAAAACACATACATATTATATGTTCATTTTGACTAGGTATGTTGACGGGGCCATTTTAGTTTCATATGGTCCTACAACAGACATAAATGACTTACTTTTTCACCAGAGTGTGCTTATAGACAACAATATAACAATGGGATTCGATGTAAGTATTGTATAATGACATCTAAACACAATATTTATTTATTTATTTTGTACGTCTTTACTTTACATGTTGTTATTGCAATTCGGGTTTTCTTTTTTCCCCTTTTTGCTCATTTTAAGTGGTCACAAAAGTATAATGATGTTGTCATATATCAGAATGTTCAGTATTGTTTGAACGTATTGTTTTTTAAATAAAAAGGATTGAAGTTAGTTCGGGCTGAGAAATCCAAGGCGGTCGCCTCTTTTTAATGGATTGACCAATATCATAATAACAAATGTATTCTTAATGTAACATAACTGTAAATAAAACATATATTAAAAGAACAGAACAATTGCCATAGAAATTTAAAGTAAGACTAACATATATATTAAAACTCAAGGTCATAGCAAAAGTGAATGGTGAGAATGTGCCTTATTTGAATACATTGACTATCTTATTACTGTTTTCAGTCATGTTTCCAAATTTGACTGCAGAAAAGGTCTGAAAATGAAAGGACTAGTTTGCATTTTATATGCAGTGAATGAATATCTCAATACCATAGACAGGGGTTAGGGATGCTGACAAACACTTCAATTATCAATAGGTACTACTTCTACTCCTGGGTCATATGTTATGAAGTAATTTCACAATTATCTGACTGTTTTGCAAAACCAATGTCCAAATGTTACCTATCCTTTTCATAGTTTTAGTCTGTCTGATAAAGGATGAAGACCAAGATAATGGTAAAGGAAATAGATGCAATAAATAGGTCATTGTCAAATGTTGTCCCAACTGAAACTACAATCTGAAACTTCCAGTTTTTCACCCATTTAGGATGACCATCTCGGCTGAAATACTAAATATTTATTGATCAAAACAATAAGCATACATTATCTAATATCCACACATTTGGCCTATGATGGTTATTTATTAATGATTATTTATTATTAAAGAAATGAAGGATAAATCTAAATTTATCGATAAATTCTTCGCAAGTATTGAATGTAATGTTTACGACATAATTAATTCTAACTATGCATTATTCAATTTAATAGATGTATTTAATGTAACATACACTTTAAACGTAAAACATTATTTGTTTTCTTTGTAAGTTAAGAGAAATATTTTATTCATTTATATTTTGGTCCGATATGGCTGTAGGAACCTTTTAAACAATATCATGTCCAATTTCTTATAGATCAGGTTTCCACAACTTTATAAGCCGCTTTTTAACATTTTGTTTTTCATCTGATGTGGCATTAAAGTTTTGGATTAGACCCGTTACGAAACTTAACCATAATAGCATACCTTGATTTAACCTTATTTTTTATTTGCAAATACCCTTGTCCCAATTAATTCTTATACATTTTGCGATAAAACAATTATTTTAATATCGTTCTATACCATTTAGAATATCAAAGCATTAATGCCGTCATTAAAATTGCCTATTGAACTGTGAACATCAATTACGCCGACCACAGTCGGCCATGACATTTAGGAGCTACACGAGACCTCGTATGATGTCATTTATAATAACCGATGAGAGAAGAGTCGTGGACTATATTTAGAACATCTTGGTTGACATGATTTCAATATTTATAATTCAAGATAATGTTTTTATTCATTTTTTATTACTTAAAAAATATACTAAAATCAAAAGTCAGTTTAACACCTTTTTCAATATCTTTCAAAAGGTAATTTTTAATAAAGTTGGAAGAAATGGGTTCTGTTTTCTTGACCTTTCGCACAAATTAACCCGTAACGGTCAATCTCGCAATCACGTGGTCAAACATTTTGGCAATATGGCGGCCAAGTGCTGAATATTTTTACAGGTTGGAAACTATTAGGTAGTTTATGTTTGTAATAAGTTCTTTACGTGTCCATCCTCGGCTTATCAACAGATTATACATAGTTTTATCAACGTATCCTTCACTTTACTTCCTGGCATGTTCGATGAATGAATACGAGCGTGTCAGATTCCTGCCACGATTATTGATGGACTTTCCCTACGGGTCTGTCTTCAGCATTCACGTCATGTCATAGTTTATTACCCTTCCAAATTTTCTAGCCCCTTTTTGATTGGATATTGATCCGCCGAAAGAAATTGATATTACCGAGCCAGACGGGGAAAATACAAACTAAATTTCCGCGTTGGGTACCCCACGTACGTTGTTAACAACATGCGCTGTGGCGATGCGCATACGGTTCGATTATACGCGGTGTAAATTCCAATATACAAGCACGTTTTAACTGCCAAATAAAGTAATATTTACCAAAATAGAGTAATGTTAAATATTCTCATCAGTATTGAAAACAAATATGACCTCGTCAAAACTTGATATAAATTACAAAAAAAATTAGTCATCAACAACTCCTTTTCTCGTTAGGTACCAAAGCAAATACGTCATGTATTTATGTAACGTCATGTTGTGGTAAAGGAGTACCCTAAAGGTTATCTATTTAGACGTTTCATTTGAAACAGCAATAATTTATTTTATCATCGTCTTACTCGGCAGGGAAAGGGTAATCAAATCATTACTTAGGTTTTGGAGTGATATATGTGGATATATTACCTGCCAAGATAAAATATCACCCTCGCCTAACGGCTCGGGTGATATAAAATCTTAGCAAGTAATATATCCACATGTATCACTCCAAAACCAAAATAACATATGATATAAACGGGTACTCTGAATACCTTAAGCTAAAACTGGTGACACTTTTGACTTCAAACTACATGACATATGAAATGGTCAGTTAATCCCGACAATAAAATTTTTAAAAAGTGATGTCATTATCGCAATCTTTTGCCTCAGTTGCCATAGGACAATAAAGTACAGTTATATTAATTTTATATTTTGTATTGAAGTCAAAATTCTACTCTGTTAACAGTTTGCTGCTTCAATAACAAGTAATTCACATTTAGTGCTTCAGTCTTTAGATGATGATAAATTATTGTCTCAACCTATTATTTTACATAATATTAAACTCATTTTGCCCTTTAAAATGTATTGGTTTCTGAAGGATAATGTTCCTTTATCGATAGACCACCTTGAACGCATTTTTGTAATTTTCTGGACACTGCAATAACGATAAATAAATGTGATTTTACATGTCAAAACATTTTCTGATTTGCATATACTATAACAACAAGTAGTCGCACATGCGTAGCAAACAAAGTCGAACAAGGCACTTTAATATTGCATCTAACTTACTGTATTTTGATTAAAGGCACATAATGCCTCAGAAAAAAATATGTTCTCCTGTTTTAGAAAAAACATACATGAGTTTTATGATTTTTAATTCTTGGCTCTAGGCTTATGCTTATCAACTTGAAAAAGTATCACTGAATATGAAATATGAAATTTCTCATAAAATTAGCAAACAAAGTAGTATTCTAATTTCTCACTAATCGGATAGAAAAATCCGTAAATGTTACTAAAAAGAGCGGTGTTGGATTATCTTGTATATAAGAAACTTCATGATGTTGACAACTTAGCTGTACCTTTCCATTATAACAGTGATTTATGTACTAAAAGAACACAAGTACAACATTTCAATAAATATGATGACATTTAATGGCCTATGATCAATCTTCAATGTGTATGTATTGACAGGAAATTTAATTGCACTACCTTTAAAACAGAAAGGTTTGTGCTTGTAATAAAATTTTCTTAGATCTGCATTAAGCTAGAATGCTAAATTTCTTCATTTAATAGTCATGTTTGAAATATGATCAAAAAAGATACGTAAATAATAAAAGAGGCTATTTTAGTCAGACAGTTTTTAACTGATCTTCGTCATGACCTTGACCTTCATTGTTTCCACACAAATCTTTAAACTGTTTTAAAAAGGAAAACAAAAGTTTGAAAATCAGCTTTGTAAAACTATCAAATATTGTGACCATACTTAATTAAATGTAACACGTCGGAGCATATATTAGGAAAATAGCTGGTTTTTTGGCCTTCCTTGTTACAAATGCCTTTGCTGTAGAAATATGTTTTATCCTTATTAAGAAATGTTTCTTTTTTGTCTGTACGTAAGCTAAGTATTTATGCTGTCTAGGACATTTTTTCAGTCATTTTATAGAAATGATACTGAACAGAAACATATCAAAATAGTCAAAAAAGGATTATTTACTTTTGACCTTCGAAATGACATTGACCTTGATAACCAGATGCTTTTTTTAATCTTTGAATTCCAAAAAGTGTTCTGTTTCTAAAACTAAACGTGATATTTAAAGTTATTAACACTATTTTAAGAATACATTTGATATTATGAATAAACAAGCGACGGCAATCTTGGACGCCATCTTGGATTTCTGAACCCGGTCCAATGTCAGACACTAGTCATTTATTATAATCATAAACTACAAGCGATACTGAACTTTTTAATATATGACAACGTTTGTAATATTAAGTGACTACGTAATGGTCATTTTAGCTCCGATTGTCACCCTGCTATTAAATGTTCGTTTTGAATACTTCGGGATAAAATACAATGAAAGACCTTTGAAGTACCTTTTGTATTTCCTTCATATATTTTATATTATATATATAATAAAGAGATTCACGTTTAAGCTCTTTGCAATTATTTTAAAATGTCTACAACAACATATGTATTAGTTTGTAACGTATGTTATGTAAAATAATTAATTGAAAAATGTAAAATGAATGTATTATGTAAAAAGGAAAATGTAAATAAACCGGCCTTAAACGTGGTTAAAAAAGAAATAATAATATAATTTTCCTTTTGCTAAGATTTATTGTGGAGTTAGTGCTCTTACGTCTGAAGATGCGGATGCCGGAGTAACAGAAATGGTGTTTAGTAAAAACTATTTTGCAGGCATCAAAGTAAGTGTATAGTTTAAGAATACGCGTAACCACATTTCTAATTGGTTTCTGACTTTTCCTATTTGTTCTTTTTTTCAGCCATAAGTCTTCGCACAATGATTGAATGTATTTTCGATGTTCGACTGGAATCAACTTTCAGTGTACAGCAGATATAAACTATGATATGTTTTTTAAATGTCTACCGTTAAGCGCGTATGAGCACATCTGCGGATGTTTCAAAATTCAAAATTGCACCATTTTCATGATTAAATGTTGAATTCTTCAGATCACCAGGGAATGTTCATGAGTCCCACAACCAAAAGGTTAACCTAGAAAAACCAATTGTTATCAAAAAAGTACGAACGTACCAAACTTGTGACAACCTTAAATAGTCTGCCAATTTAAGGCAATTTAATGCCAAAATGAAGAATTCACCTTAATATATCTTCTATTCTGAGGAATATTTTCTTCAAATCTTAATTCAAATATCCGGACAGTTACTTGTAAATTTAACTATTAAATTTGTGCTGACAAAAGTTGAAATATAGAGGGGTAGACAAGTAAGTTGGTTTCGATCCTTGTACCTTATTCACGGCAATGCAATAAAATTGATCACAACTGCTGCCTGATATAGATTAATAATGAAAAATATCATTTCAGCTTCAAAGTAGCCTTATTCACCAAACATAGTCCTTGCTTTTTTTCTTGATCCAGTTTTGAAAGGACGTTCAATTAGGCATCCGAGATGACAATGAAATGCATTTTGTAGTGTCGTTTAACAGTATGTGCAGGTTGTGCTAAAAGAAGCGTGTTTTTGTGTTTTGTTGCGTTCATTGAACGCTGCCTTTCCTTGTTGATCTTGTTTACATAATAAACTAGATAATCTATTTCGCTAAAGGAGAATTTGATGAATAGATATATTCAGCAGATAATGTTTCTTTTTCTCATAATGCACATTGCAAAGCTCAAATAGATAAATAAATTATCACTAATAATACTTGGATTCTTTTTGTATAACTGTGAATTATCTCTTATCAGATATAATTTTGTACTTAAAATATCATTTGTAACCATACAGGTATCAAGTACAACCATCAACATTAATAAAGGCGACACAGCGGTTCTTCAAATGACGTCAACAATGCCAATAGGCTGCGGATATGATGATGCAGCCGATGATATTTGTATTGAAAATTTTCAAATATTTAATAAAGATAATGAAGGATTTCAATGCCAAGCTGATGTTGCTAATTTAGCCTTTCAACCAAACCAACGATGCTCTAATGGATTAAAGGTATTCTTTATATTAGCTTAAGGTCTGTAGCGTACCCGTTTATATACTAAGACATGACGTGAACGCTGAAGACATATCCGTAGGGAAACTCCACCAATAATCGTGCCAGGAATCTGACACGCTCGTATTCATTCATCGAGCACGCGATGAAGTAAAGTGAAGCATGCTGATAAAGTTATATACAATATAACAATAAGCCAAGTTTCAGCAGTTTAAAAACTTAATTCGAACATAAACTAACTTATAATTTCCGATATGTAAAAATATTCACCGTTTCGCCGCCATCTCGCCAACATGTTTGATCAAGTGAGTGCGCGATTGACCTCGGGTTCATTTACATATGCTTGGACGATTACGAAAGCAATGCCGTGTGCTTTTAATTTTTTTACTTAATACAGTTTTCCCAAAATTATAAAATGTGATATTCTGGCTTTAAATCTACTTCTTTTTTTTCAGTACTGTAAAGTAAAACAGCAACAAAACATTTAATCTTGAGTATTGAGATATTGTCATGTCAACAAAGATGTTCTAAATATAAAACATGACAGTACATAAAGAGTGTCATGGTCAACATCAGCCGGTTTAATTGATGTTTCGCAGTATGATATGCAAATGTATTGACATTATTAATTTCTTGATCATCTTAATAGTCTAAAACTATGTTGAAATGATATTTTTATCAGATAATACGCAAGAATAAATTAGGAAAAGGATATTTGCAAATTTTAACAAGATTTTACCAGCATGTCTTATTCTGAAAATATAAAAGATTGTAATAGAATTTTAGTATATAAGGTGGGATCTAAGGTATTTATCGAGAATTGGTTTAACTGATAATATTGTTAATCATTTGTTTAATAAAATATATAATGCTATGTATATTTTTCTTTTGGATCACCATGGAAGAATACAACTGCATATACTGTTCAGTATTTAAAGACTACGAATTTCAATGCCATCATTGACCACATAATTATTCGCCATCCAGACTGCAACTTGAAAATAAGAATAAATAATGATCAGAATAAAATTTCCTACTTAAAAAATTTCAGCGTCACAGCCAATAACGTAAACGAAAAAAGAAGTTTATAACACCAATAGCTGAAACACTGACAATTAAAATTTCAAAATTTCACGAATATTCTCCGTTTAAAAAGATGCCAAAATTGTCGACGTCTATGAAAGATATATACAAGAATAAAAGTCGTACATGTCAGAAAAAGAAAGTCAATGAATTTCTGAGAATATAAAACAGTGTTTAAAAAAGCAGAATGAAATCAACGGTAGGTGTAAAGCTTTCAACATGTTGAAATAAGTAATCTGCAAAAAAATCTTGTAATGATATTTCGAGGTTTTTTGATACGTGACGTTATATAACGGTCACGTCAAAACTAACAACAATGCCGTTGAACTAAATATAAACAATTTATAGTACATATGTAATATTTTAGCTTTATAGCTTTCCAAAGAAAAATGAATGGTAAGTTATAGTGAAATAAAACAATATTAGGCATACATTTGCTTGTGTAATCGGCGTGTGTTGACATAAACAAAATATGAGGCGAAGAGCACAACGTTTTATGCGCATATATTTTACGAAGAAGGTTATGGATGTATATTTTAGCAAAGATAAATTATTTCTTATTATGATTCAAATGATAACATACCGTAACATATTAAATTCAAGCCGATTTTTAATAGTTTAATGTGTCATTACGTCTGAGTGTACGTTTAGATGCTGAGATCTTCTCACAAGATCCGGTTGGGGTTCAAATCGTTTATATACTGTGATCTTTTAAATCTAAACGAAGAAGATGAATAAACAAATTGCGATAATAACGTTATGTAATTCTTATCTGTTTAAATATTATACACATGTGTTTTTCAATTTCATTTACTGCTTCTTGTTGGGCATTTTGTATAATTTTATAAAAAACATTGTATTTCATTTTACAACAGACTCTGAAAAATGGAACAATTTGGAACCCTGATACAGTGTTCAATTTCTCTATAGTGACAACCGACATGAACTATAATGATAAACGACTTTTTTACCTGTTGTTACAATTTCCTGATACAATGGGGCATAAGATTTGGAGGAATTATAATTTTCCATTAGTTAAGGTACGTCTCACAATTTGTATGCAACAATATAATATATTGTGTAAAAAACACTCCTTTTATTTTTCAGAAATATATTATGTACATGATATTATATTTAATTCTGATGCTAATAAATATCCGTTTGTGATATTTTTATTATTTTTTAAAGTGACGTGTACATTAAGATTTAACTAGCTAACTATAATAATCCAGATAAAACAAGTAGCAGTATTGCCAAGCAATAAATTTCAAAATATTTACGATCCCGCCGCACTATCCCGAACATCTAATAAGAAAAGAGACATAACTTAAAAAAAATTGTTTTCTAATTTCTGAAGGTCTCCTCGGAACGTTGAAAGTTAATACACTTTGTGTAAGAAATGGCACTTTCTTAGAGTTTCGTTTTCATTTTTTATCAATATTCTTATGTCAATAGCCAATGTTCAAGAATCGTTTAACTTTTTACTTTACTACTACCCCGGCCCGGCGCCCTTTTATTGCGTGTACATTTAAAACGAGGTGCATGCAATTCATATACCAATCTTTTTATAAATTTAGTTTCATTGTTCTTATATTTAAACATTTAAATATGAAAACATTTGAAAAAAATTGGAATATTAGGTTAAGCACTAGTTTATAGCATTGTTGTAAGATACCGCAAAACATACATTGTAGCAATAATGTTAAAATGTTGTTTTTAAAGGTTATCGTATCTGACAATGGAGAATACAAAAACAAGATTTGTTATTCTCATATAGATCCACATATGAGATCAGCCGACGGCGTGTAAGTCTTTGTATAACTTTATCCGGGTTTTTGTCAAAGATTTAATTTCCTATTGTTTTAATACCCATTATTTCACCATCTTTTCTAGTATATGGTTCTTATATCTTAACAGAAAAAACGCAACTATTTTTTTTCATAATCATCATGATTATTTAAATTCTTTTAGAAGGAGGTAAAATAATAAGTCAGCTGAAATTTTGAATTTATAAAAAGTGATATGAAAATAAACACAATCGTTTTGCAACTGCTACAGTAATGAAATCAATTGTTTATGATTTCTCTAAATTTTTAGGTATTACGAGCAACAACGTAAGGACGGTCAGCTTTTCCCGGGTGTGTTCCTGTTATATCATAACACAAAGTATGGAATCGAGGTTTGTATGTGAAAGAACTTACTTGATTTTCTTAAATCTCAAAATAATATCATTAAAATTTATCTTATATGCATAATTCATCATTAGAATTTATGACTAAAATATTAAAACGTTATCTTTTATTTGACATTTGAGTGTTGATAAGTGAATGTTTAAAGAATATATAAGGTGTAAATAATGTTTAATCTTAATTTGAAAGAAAGCATACAAAGTGTAAGTTATAGTTATAGTACAGCGACGAAACTGTTATGTGGTAATATCATGGCCTGGGGCTACATCGAGAGTCTTTCTCTACAGAAAATGAGGACATTTTCTGTAGGAAAAAGCCGAGATACAGTCCCAGACCATGATATTTCTATATAGTAGTCGAGTTCGACATATTATAATTTTCTTTATAATTTTTTAATTTCAATTTATATTTTGCTTACCTTAATAAATAAAAGCCCCCACTTGGAACATCGGTTACTGTTTATGGTACATGTCAATTTTTCTTATTGTAAACTCCATAGCGTAAGGGCCAATTAAAAGTATGGTGTGTGTTCCCGACTGGTCAGATGACCACATTCACATAAAACATTGCTGTAAATAATTGTGACGCACAAGTATTACACTAACCGCCATTTGATCAGCATTTTTCAATGACATGCCAAAAGATGTCATTTGTAATTTATTTCAATGAAAACGATTATTGTTCTTTTCTCGGGGATTTGAAATGGATGATATTGCGGGTGTTGCTACTATATAAAAGGTGTGAGTTATCTGAGATATAGCACCGTGCTAACATTATAAGTAAATCATGTTACGGGCGTGTAACAGGTGAGGAACATCAAAGAAAAATCGCCGCACCATGCGATAACTTGAATTATGAGAAATGTTGTACTTTCGATTATCATTCAGACATAGACTCAATCAAATTGGATCTGTATATTTTAAACTCACAAGAGAGATATTTACATAATATTTCAGTTTTAATGTAGCTTTAAATTCATAAATTACTTCGTACTGGCAGGTTCAACAACAAACTAAAACCTGTAACAATGAATTGGCAACTTGCGCATGTGGTATTGCAATACGAGCGGGTAAAGATGTTTTCATGATAAATAGATGTGGAAGTATCAACTATCTCGGTTTTACAAAATGCGAAGATGGAGGGATTTTACAAGTTGTAAAAAGACATGATTACAAGTACGATGTAAGTATGTTGTCAAAAAGTTGACAATAATAAAGAAAAAGAATGGCATAATATTTTGACAAATTATCCAAACACTAAAATATAAGTTAAAAATTTGCAAATTGGTGCAAGAATAACCCTTTCTTTTATATGTATTCACCAAGAAATTGTAGTCGTATTCATACTTAATGTGTTATCAGATGGATTAATGTAACTTCCTTACAATTTACCACATTAAAAATATAGATTAAAGTCAAGGATGTTGAAGTTCTATCCCTTTGATTGTTGACAGGAAATATCATCTTGGACAATGGAAAACAAATGTACATGATTTTCTAGAAACGGCACTAAAGTATAACAATCTAAAACTACATAATAAATTCATTCTAGATATACAATACATGCAATATTTAAAAATTACTCAATTCATTTATAATCAAATAAATAACCCATAAGTACATTCGGATAAAAGCTTTTTCCTCGGGATGATATCTTTACTGTTACCCACAAACCTATGTATTATTTATCTACACACAAACTTTATGACAATACATAAACACTCACGGATTGTGTTTCTGATATATAAACTCACTGTTGTACTATTTTAGGTAAAGTGTTATTCATCAATTATTCATTAAAAGTTTAAAATCAATCTGGGCATTTGTTATGTTCCTCAGCAATGTTAAAGCAAAATACTTGACTTGAGGACAACAATGAAATAAATGGATGACATGATAAAGCAATAACAGTAACAGTGGTAAACTGCATTTGAAACAAACAGAACTAAAACAAATCTTATCCATTCTAGTGGCAATATAATTAGAGAAATGATAAGACTAACAAAAATATGAGGCAACAGAAAAGCCGAACTGAAAAAAGCAATACCTAAAGTATGTTTTATTTTGAATGCATTATTTGTTTTGTTAATAGAAAATGAACGAAAACTTGAGTATTGTTTTTACTTGATATTGACTATATGTATCATTCAATTTAAAACTTAAATGTTGTTTACTTATACATAATGTATGATTTTTATTGCAACCACAGGTATTGAATATATCTTCTTTTTTGCGATTTAAGATATTCACACCCATTGGAACTAAAATAACAGTACAACTTTTTCAAAATGAATACGACGGAAGTTACCAAAGAACAATGAACATAGACATTACAATGGCACCTAAAGACTTGTATAACATTGAAGGATTGTGTGGACAGTTTGACAATAATCCTGCCAATGATTTCCGGCATAGAGACGGGGCTATTTCAGAAATAAATAACGCCAATCAAAACAGTCATTTTGCAGACTTTACAGAAAGCTGGAGGTAATAAAGAGAAGAATCCAATTTACTATTCGATCATTTGGAAGTATCATTTCACTCCATTCGACGTAATTAGTTTTAATTTAAAACTGCCCATTCAGGAGATCAATATCAATACTACAATTTAAAAAAATGAGTTACCTTAACATTCTGGCCTTGCTCTTTGCTGGTTGCCAAAGCTGGTCACTTTTATTTCAGCTGGTTAAGCATTTATTGTTTATTAAAACTGGATAAAAGAATATTCTTTCACAAAATATTTCTTATATCATTGTTCAGTTATTTCTACTTTTGACATTTCTTCTTTAGGAAAACAGACAAAATGACGTAATAGATATGTTATAATCTAAATAAAATAGGCGCCTCAACAGATGTCTACATTTAATTGGATATCTAATCTAGACATTGTATTTACAGTTTAACTTCAGGCGAAACAGAACATTTCAACTTATTTAGCACTGGACATAGACTTTTAAATAGTTGGGGTGATGTAAATGGAATGTTTTGTGTTTGCGCAAGTGATGAAAGAGTAGCAGAAGCAACATGCTATCCCACTCAATATTTGAACTGTACGATGAGTAGGTCAATAACTGGTACAAAATGTAATGTACAAAACAGGAGAAAAAGAAACGCCGATGGTAACTTCAGATATGACAAAGAATTAGACAGATTACTTCAATTAATGACACCACTAAATACACCGAACAAAGAAACTAGGGTCAAGGTAATGCTGTTATCTTTTAAGATCGGTAACAAATACTCGCTAAAACTTGAAGGGCCTGTGCTAATTTGTTCGAAAGATCGGTAGTTCGAGCCAACCGGGGTTGAACTATTAGCACGTAAGACATATTATACGTCATTTATTGTAAATATTAACAAATCAGTATTAACGGTACACTATGTGTGTCTATATAACCGCATAGTGTAATTGGTTGTGTTCTATTGGGTAAGCATTTCCGAAACTTGTTCAAAATATGTTTACATGTTTATAATGGCATAAATTCTATTTCAAACAATCAATTAATTAGTAAAATATTAATAAAAATCATTCAACAGCAGCTTTTTGTAGTAATTTACTAAAAATAACACACGTACAAGTGTCATTCTATAAATAGATATCACGTCTGTAGCATTCTTAGGTAGTCTTCTATCTCATGTATTCATATTAATTTGATTGCCCCCTTTAGAGGCCGCTAAAGCTAAAAAATAGAAAAAAATTATTGTGTTCTTCTACTGAACTAATGGATGGATGATCACCAAATTTTGTCTGTAGCATTCTTAGATAGCCTTTAATCAAGTTGCCTCATATTAATTTGTAAGGCTCCTTTTAGGGGCCGCTATGGCTTAAAATAGAAAAAAACTTAAAAATATTTTTTTTGTACTGAACTAATTGATGATCACCAAACTTTGTCTGTAGCATTCTTAGATAGTCTATTACCAAAATGTGTTCAAATAAATTTGATTGGCCCCTTTCAGTGGCCTCTAGAGCAAAAAATAGAAAAAAAAACTTCAAACAGTTTCTGCTACAGAACTAATTGATGGATGATCACCAAACTTTGTCTTTAGCATTTTAGGTCTTTTTTATCAAATTTGTTCATATGAATTTGATTGACCCCTTATTCGGGCCGATAAAGCTTAAAATAGAAAAAAAACCTTCATACGTCTATTACAGGACAAATTGATGGATGACTGTAGCATTCTTAGGAAGTCTTGTATATTAATTTGATTGACCCCTTTAAGTTTAGTTAAGCTAAAATGCCCCAGGCCATGACATTTCATCAATTTATAGTTAAGTACTAAAAGGGAAACAACTTATGTTGGAATGGTTTCCATACATGTGTACAGGTTATGCATTTTTTATAAAAAAATATTCAAAAGCTGTGAGAAAGTCTTAATGACATGGTTGATTTTCAAAGATCTTGAAGAAATGATTTTAGGGCATGTGATTTGTAGCTAAACAGTATACATATCTGCACATTGACTTTCATTTGACATGCTAAAGTAGGACGTCACTAGACACTACTACACAACGGCAAAGTTCAATTACATATAATAAAATCTATTTCTGGAACTGTTTAGTGTTCACAAATGCAATAGTAAAAATAAATTCATCTTCTGTTTTTGTTAATAACTTTCAGCTCTAGAACTCTTTTCCTCTTTGTAGTTACAATTTTTCTTATTTCTATTAGAGAGTAAGATAATTCAACTAGAAACGACCGAGTTGACTAGTATACCTATGTTATCTTAAATAAATATTGACCAGTGGTGTCATCCTGACAAAGAATATACATGTATATCTAAATACTGAGATTATGTAATTATCTTTTTTTAAGATGAGTAAAAAAAGGAAGATAGCAATTCGAAAGACAGTCATAGGCAAATTTTATCACAAATTAATGGATGGAAGATCACCAAACTTGGTTCCTATCATTTTTACTATAAAAAAAACAGTGTCAGGAAACTTAATAACTAGAGAAGCAAATTGAATTGGAGCTGGACTTGTCTTTCTACAAGTTTATTTGAAAAATTATTTCTATAATCACTGCAAAAAACAGTTGTTTCTGGTGAGCGATTCAGGATAATCTTGGCCCTCTTGTTAAATTTGTCTTTCGACGTCTTAGCTGTGATATGCAGGCTTCATAAACTCTGATCCCTTTTCAAAATTTCATTTTCTTTCGTTCTGCCCATTGTTTTCTCGTTTAGGACACATGCATTCTTTTACTTTTTCTAATACGCCACTTTTCATAGTGTCACATTGAAGGTTTAATGATAACCGTCGTATGAACGCAATTCTAGGTCAAGTTGAAAGATGGATCACCTCCGGTCAAAAACTAAGTCACAGGAGCTAAAAATAGAAAAATTCTTGTTAACACACTAGTGGCTGCAGTTTTGATCCAAATAGTCTGGAAAAGTGTCAATAAGGTTGTTTTGATGATTTCTAGATCAAGTTCGAAGATGGGTCATCTCCGGTCAAAAACTAGGTCAAAAGGGTTAAAAATAGAAAAAGCTTGTAAACACTCTAGTGGCTGCAGTTTTGATCCAAATTTTCTAGAAATTTGTCAGGAAGGTTGTTTTGATGATGGGTCATCTCTTTCTTTTAAAGTATCATTTAAGTGATTAGCCAGTCCGTTCTCTGCTTTGCTTTGCGCCCAGCCCTTTTTTGTGTCGGGTCCTCCTGGGTTCCTTGCCACTAGTTTTTCTTGCTGGGTCGTGTGGGGATTGCGTTCATTGAACGCCGCCTTTCTTTAATGATCTTGTTTATAATATATTTTTTTGCGTTCATTGAAACCGCCTTTGTTTGTTGATCTGGTTCATCATATTTTAACAACCTCTTGAACCATAGCTCATTTTTGCCAGTTAATTTCGGTTTTTGTTTAGCGTCAAGAAAACAACAACAACAACAACAACAACTTTATCACCAAAGAAGGAGCTGAGAAGTTATGTAAAGAAAAAATTTCCGGTAGTTTAGCCGTGCAAAAATATTCGGAAGTCGGCGGCAATGAAGAGCCGGAAGAGGTTGTAAAACAATGTACATTTGATGTATTGGTATGTATTATAATGCAACACGAATTTATCTAAAGAGAATATAACAATTTAATCAGATTTTCTCTTGAACTTATCTTCAATAATATCGTTTCAAGGCTATGAACACATTTGCAGATGTTTCTAAATACAATATTCCGCCGTTTTTGTGTTGTAAGGCTAAATTCTGCTTAAGCCTGCGCTAGCGGGCAACTTGCACTCTCCAGTACCGCCCTTGCTGTGGGATTTCAATGGTTCTACTTAGGTGCATGCTCGAGCCGAAGAAAAATGAAAGTGTACCGTAGGTTAATCTTCAATATTTAAGCTGAAAATGCGCCATTTTAACTTACTAATCACCGTAGCTGCGACTTCAGACGACTTCAGTGTTGTTATATTTCTGTTATATCCCATTGCAGACTAAATAGAATTCTGCATATTTCTATTTCAACTTGTTTTTGTTTGAAAGGATCTTGGTTATGCAAAAAGTTTAAGCCTAAACACCACAATTACGTTTAGTATTTATTTGAATATCATTTTTGCCTCAGGTTGGAAACGATACGTCATGGGCTACAGCGCATGTAGAATCTATTAATAATATTGTAAAGAACATTATAGAAAAGGAACCTTCATATGTTGAAAATAACACCGAAAAGGTGGTTACATTCTATAAAAATACATGCCCAGGAAATTGTAGCAACAACGGCAAATGTACTGACAAAAGTAAGTTAAAAATGTTTGATATGATCTTATTATTTCAACTGATAGAAATTTAAATAAAGTACATATTTTCATAAGTACAATCAAATATATCAAATTTTTCAAAATTATTCTGACAATCGATGTCCCTACTAATTATGTATCATATCCTGTCGCCATTGGTCCTTGAATTCATTTTAATTATTTTCCAGGTGAGTGTGTTTGTTATGGATTTTTCCATGGACCAGAATGTGACATAGATGAAAGAGATCCTTTAATAATTGACGATATAGAAGGTGGTGGAGAATGTGATCTAGCTGAAGGGGACGAATGTTTATGTTTCCATGTTAGATCTTCAAATATTCTTGAAGGTTTTAAATGCCAGGCCAATATCTATAAGGTTTATAAATTTCTGTAGAGAAACATTTTCTTAATAAGAAAAAAATTGTTTGCTTTGTATCACGTAAGATGTCGTATCATATACGTCAAAATTGTGTTTTAACTGTGCAATGTCAAAATATTAAATATGCTGTTAATGAGTAGTCTCAAAATTTAATAATATTGAGCTTTAAGTTTATAACATGCATAATAAATATATATATTCTATTTAGCTTTAACTTTAGATTTATGTTCCATTTCTTAATTAACAGATAACAGTTAGTGGGGAAAAGGAGATAATTTTAACACAGTCCTTTTCTGGTGAATATGAGGATATATTTACTGGAGCGTGTTGCATACAAGACAACGTAACTGATACTGAAGGTTTATTTGTTACGAAGTACGATTTTTCTATCAGCAATAATGGCATCACGTACGGAAATGAAAAAAGTGTTCATATTTTTGACTCGTCTTGCCAAGAAGCAAAATATACTTCTTTTGAAAATGCATCGTTTAGCTTAAAGGTAGCTCTCTATTATTTCTTCTTTCCAGTTAAATGCTTATTTAAAACAGTACACATAGCTCATATATGACATTCCGAGCAGTTTGTATCGTCGCAAATGTTATTTATAAGCTGGGGATGTGTTGTGTCAATTTTCAATTTGCATACAGAAAATTTCTGACGAGCACAAAGTCTCATAATTTGTTTCAATTGCAAGAGGGACTAAAAACATGAAAATTTGATAAAATATGCCGATTGAAACCAAACGTTATTTGAAGTGATAAAAAAAAACAGAATTATAAATTAAAAGATTACACATGTTGTCACACTTTAATATTATCTGATGAAACCATAATATTACTTATACCACGTTAAATACTTTCTGTTTGATTTTTATAACTATTTACAAGAATCTGTTAATGATATATAATTCAGTATATTTATATTGATATATAAACAGTGATAATAGTAAAACGTACATATTTCATTTAAGCCTGAATTCTGTTTTATCAATGGACATTGTGTAGCAGAAAACGACATGTCTCCCGTAGGTTGTTTAGCTTGCCAGTCAGCAGTTGATGCGTTTAATTGGACAGGTATGTGACAGAATATTATTATTTATATGTTAAGGTGAGTAAGTGCTTGCGTCCGACAATGCAAAATTTGCCCATGCTACTTTACCAGGTAAAAAAACTCAACCAAATACTGGCGGTTACCAAACCAGTGTTAGGCATGTAGTTCGGAGAACTTATGTTACTTGGCTAAATTGCTCCTTCATTGTATACAACCACATTTATTGTCAAGTCAGCGACCTAAGCAATAAAGGCAATGACAACTACATACGAATGAGATTTTACTCGAACTATAAACAATTGATTTATGTAAGCCATGTCGGAATAATGAAAAATGTTCAAAAATCGTTTTACCTTTTTCTAATTCGTTTGTTTTTGCAGGAGCTAAACAAATTCCATTTATTTAGAATCAGTATGATTTCCAAAAACTGATAAACATGATCATTAAATAATTTTTATTTAAAATGTTTCCAGATAAATTACATTTATTGGTTTGTACTTATGTTTTCTTGCAATTTATTTTTATTAAACATTTCTGGCTCTGTTTTCTCTTTTAAATTACAACATCCTTTATTTTCTTTTTTATTTTATGAACATGATTTTAAAAACTACAGATATAGATGAGTGTCAATCAGGCCCCTGTGAAAATGAAGGGACTTGTACAGACCACCCAAATTCATATACTTGTTCCTGTGTTGACGGTTTTACTGGCAATAATTGTGAAATAAGTAAGTTCGTTTATAAGGTTAAGTACATCGAAATATTATAGGAGTATACCATTTGATATGATATACGAGTATCTATTCTAAATAGAATACAAGCTAATAATGATAAAATACATTCCTACTATTAATCGGGCCATAGTCCAACATTTTGTTTATGTACGTAAATAGCATGGGTGTTATCAATACACATTAATGTTTATTAACACTCGAAGTCTAGCATTGTTCTTTAGATAGAATTATATATAATTGTAATGTCGGCGAATACGAAACTATGAATATCGAATGAAGCAGTTATATCATAAATGAAAATATGTTAGGTTACACTCTTAAATGAGGTAGTAAAGCTTTTTCTTGCAGATATCAACGAATGTTTATCTCACCCATGTCAAAATAATGGGATATGTAAAGACGGGGTTAATACGTTTACATGCGAGTGTCAGCCTGGTTTTAAGGGGATTCACTGTGAAACAGGTAGACGTCTTTTGCATGATATGATATTGTTAACGATAAACTTGATTAAATTTACTTTACTTTGATGGTATTTGAGTTATATATGTATCTAATTGAGAAATAGGTGTAGTCATTTGTTCTTTCATTGTTTGTTACTATTTAGATATAGATGAATGTTCGGCCAATCCCTGTAAGAAAGGAGGTACCTGTTTGGATCGCGTCAACGGATACACTTGTGAATGTTTAGCTGGAACGTTTGGAGTGAATTGTTCTGCTGGTACATATATTGTCATTTTTGTTGAATAAGGGAATTTAACGTTGTCGTAATTATATTAGACTTATATCAAATGAAACCGTCCCGTCATGACAAAAAAAAAAGCAAAAATAAACAAACATTAGTCCCTGTAACATAGTACTATGTCGATAATGATATTATAAGCAAATCACAAATCGCTGCCTAAACTCTCAGTAAATATCACATTAACTAGTTCCATACACTTGGATGCTCATCAAAATCTTAGACTTTTTTATAACATCAGGATTATACAGTTTTCATTTTGAAAGTTTTATTATGGTCTGATAATGCACTTTTCCTAAGGCAAAATTATGATTTAAACCCCAGATTTGTAGACGACAAACCAAGATGTTCATTGTTTATTTTTTTTAGGTATGAGGAATTGTTTTCTTTTCATGTTTTACTCTGTTCTAAAGCGTATAAACGTTCATTGAAATGTGACGCAAAATACATTTTTTCATCACAAAGAACGCTATCATAATCTAAGAATAACACTGTTTATGTGACCTCGACTTGAGCATTTGCATCACGAGGAAATATAAAAAAGATAATTAAAAAGATTTGTTTGTCAGTGCGTGAATCACTCGCGTTATCCGGAGGTTAAACAACTAATACCACCAGCACATAGGGAACTTCATGATGTCCCAAGCATTACCCTGTTGTGCTATGTACGGCTTAGCTGCAAATTACTGATTTTATAAATGTGTGCTTGCACATGCTTTCATGGGGTAACTCATTAATGCAACTTTTAGTATCATTGCGCTTATTTTATGTGACTTTACTTTATGATTACGACATGGGCAATATTTTAGCAAATTGTAATTGAGCAATATTTGTTTTGATGACAACGCATATCTACTTTCTCGTTAATGTTTTTTTAATCTTACCGCCATTAAAACATAACCTTTATGATGTTGCTACACAGTCTCGAAACTGGTAGGATCTGAATTATCTAGGAAAGCCTACTGGAACAATGCCAGTAGGGATTTCGTATTATATCGTTACTTCACCTTTAGTTGAAAAAATACGCCAAACGAATATTACAGTCGTTTACATATGGTATTAGTTTATTGTTATGATACTATTCTTTTATCGAAATTTTACTCTGCATTACGAACTGTAAGTAAAATATATAAAACGTTTTTCTTTAATAGAGACAAAATCAAGATTAAGATCTTATATATTGACTTTGTTCTAGTTTTTTTCTGATTGTACATACTTTTACTCTTTATCACAGAATCGGACAGTTGTGCAGCAAACCAATGCGAGAATGGAGGAACGTGTGAGGAATATTTAAATTCAAGAGTATGTCGATGTGTTGATGGTTATACTGGTGCAAATTGTGAAATTGGTTTGTTATGTTATATTTGTACATAACTGTGGTTTTTCTGTAGTTGTTGTTTATTTATTTTATTTTATTTTTTGCTTAAGAAAAATATGTAAACAATTGGTTTTCAGTATGCATTTTAATCAGCAATAAAACACCTACACTCCGATCTGGACTCAATAATATGGAAAAATATATGTAGCTCAACGCAAGAATTGCACGATCAAAATCATAAAAATCATGTTTCTACTAGATATCAGAACAGAATTCGTTTGTCCACTTAACTAGATCCCAAACAACTTAGTTAGGCTATCAGATTCAGTCTGACACAGATTGGAATAATAGGTTTAACCAAGGTAAAAACATATCTTTATATTGTTTTTCAAAGTCGAGATTATAATATCTTTTATACTTTTCATACCTAGTTTATTTCAAACTGTCTTATACTATTTGTTAAGATATAAATGACTGTGAAAACAATCCTTGTGAAAATGGTGGCAGTTGTACAGATTTAGTAAATAGTTACCAATGCACTTGTGTATCTGGGTATGAAGGAACTAACTGCGGAAAAGGTAAATCAAAGTTCTTCTATTGACATTTATATTACTAATTGTAAGTTTCAAGTTGATGTAGGTAATATTCATTATTTAGTAAAAGGAATGAGCATGTCGAGCTTAAAAGAAACTTTGAGTTGTTTAAAAATGCGTTGTAATTGATCCTATCAGATATTTTTTTATGAAATAAATATGAATAAAAGAACCAAAAAAAAAAGATTTTCCTTTTTCATAGCATTACAACTGAACAATTAAATGATTAGCAGATATTATTTGCTTGAATTGATTATTAACAATTTACAACTGCTTAATTGACTAATGCGCTTATTGTCGTACATGTAAGGATATTGTCTATGCACACAAATGTACACGTGTTAGTCAATACTAACTGCATAAATTGTGAAAATGTTGAGAGTACATTTTATATTGACAATATTATCAATGAATAATTTACACCGAGTTTGTTCCGATGAAAGCAAACCTTAGCTTCATGTCTAAAAAGCATTGTGGTAGTATTATGATGAAAAGTTCACGATTAATATATTAGGATGATTATGTTAAATAAGAAATATTTTAAAATAGCTTTGATTGATCTTTTCTGAATGGTTTATTCAGGATTTAAAGATAAAATTATTTAATTAACATTAGGCGAACATTGGGTGTAATATACGTTTGCTTTAGAAATGCAACAAAATGAATGATGCACCAAAAACCTCTTATTAGAAAAATATCATTCAAAATGATTGTACAATGACAAGTATAATAAATTAAGAATTTTTTAGATGTTTACATGAACGATATTATCATTTTAAGGAAACAGCCATTGTCACGTTATATTTTTTTCGTTGCTACAAACAACAAAAATTGTAACTTATTTATAGATATCAATGAGTGTTCAACTGATCCCTGCAAACATGGTGGGTCTTGTGTGGATCTAGTTAATGGATATAACTGTACGTGTGTTGCTGGTTATGATGGAACAGACTGTGAAAACGGTGAGAATGAACATGTTTAATACAAACTGAAGAAATATTTAAGAATTTGATATGCTGCCATGTTCAATTAGAGTAAATGTTCAATACTTAAAATAAGGTTCTGAATAAAAAGATGTGAAGAGATGAACATTATAAGTATCGCATGTGTATTCTAAACCTAGATATAAAGTTACAACTCCAGCATGTTTGGATGTAATATTTCTGAATTTGATCTGAATCACAGACGAACACATACGCACACAAACGGACGTGCAATTACACGCTTTCACTTAAATTTTTAACAGAAAAGAACATATCTTTTAAGCTTTAACAAGATATATATGATTTAAAATGATACAAATCGCAGATATAGAAGAGTGTTCTGCCTTTGCAATAATGGTGTCTATAAGGACCTTGTCAATGATTAAGAATATACTTGTGTTGCTGGACATAACGGCAATGAGTGTGATATAAGGATATATTCCTACATATATTATTATAGTATACTCGTGTTTTTTTATGAATTAGCAATTTATTTGATACATTTGTTTGTTGCTGTGTTAAAGTAACACTTATTATAAATGAAAATTTCGGTGCAGAAAATTATAGTTTTGCATGTTTTGCGTTTGTCTTCCTACAAACATCCAGCATAAAATGAGCTATCACTTTCTTGAAAATAATCATTTATGAAAACAGACACACGTCAGAAAAATATCAAGGAAACGTAAACATGAAATCATTTACAACATTCGAAACTAACAAACGGATAATATTTTTTTCTTACATATAAAAATAACTGTAGTTATTTTCATATATTTCTCAGAAATAAATGAATGCTTGTCGTATCCTTGTAAAAATGGCGGTACCTGCCAAGATATGGTCAATAAATATGAATGTTTATGTGTTGCTGGATATGCTGGCACGAACTGTGGCAACGGTAATTTATCTTTATTTACTTTTTATTACATAAATAAATTATGATTTGAATATTTGAATGAAGCTCACGATTTTTAAATTTCCAAATGCAATGATAAATATTTAATATGACCAAAACAGATAAAAATGCTATTTTGTTTGCAATATCTAAACAAGGTATACAACTTAATCGATCTGACATTTGTTGCAAGGAAATCTTTTTTAATATATGATCTTAAACAAAAATGAGAAATCTCATTTGACCAAACAGTATTCTACAAAAATGTTTCTTATTATGATCACAGGAAATAGTAGTGGCATTTTTAAAGGCTAAATTGGATATTATAGAATCAGACTCGTATTCAATTACCACACATTATAAACTTTTAACTATGCGTGCACATATACGTTTGCTTTACAAATGTAACAACATGAATTATTGTTTACTACCAATGGAACATAAGCAAACAACAAATAACCTCTTATTAGAAAACCATCATTCAAAATGATTGTACAATAACAAGTACAATAAATTTAAACAGTTTAAGATGTTAACCTGAACGATATAATAATTAAAAGGAAACAGTCATTGTCACGTTATATTTTTTTCGTTGCTACAAACAACAAAAATTGTAATTTATTTACAGATATCAATGAGTGTTCAACTGATCCCTGCAAACATGGTGGGTCTTGTGTGGATCTAGTTAATGGATATAACTGTTCGTGTGTTGCTGGTTATGATGGAACAGACTGTGAAAATGGTGAGAATGAACATGTTTAATACAAACTGAAGAACTATTTAAGAATTTGATATGCTGCAATGTTCAATTAGAGTAAAGGTTCGATACTTAAAATAAGGTTCTGAATAAAAAAATGTGAAGAGATGAACATTATATGTATCGCATGTGTATTCTAAACCTAGATATAAAGTTACAACTCCAGCATGTTTGGATGTAATATTTCTGAATTTGATCTGAATCACAGACGAACACACATGCACACAAACGCACGTGCAATTACACGCTTTCACTTAAATTTTTAACAGAAAATAACATATCTTTTAAGCTTTAACAAGATACATATGATTTAAAATGATACAAATCGCAGATATAGACGAGTGTTCTGCCTTTGCAATAATGGTGCCTATAAGGACCTTGTCAATGATTAAGAATATACTTGTGTTGCTGGACATAACGGCAATGAGTGTGATATAAGGATATATTCCTACATATATTATTATAGTATACACGTGTTTTTTATGAATTTGCAATTTATTTGATACATTTGTTTGTTGCTGTGTTAAAGTAACAATTATTATAAATGAAGATTTCGGTGCAGAAAATTATGGTTTTGCATGTTTTGCGTGTGTCTTTCTACAAACATCCAGCATAAAATGAGCTATTATTTTTTTGAAAATAATCATTGATGAAAAAAGACACACGTCAAAAAAATATCAAGGAAACGTAAACAAGAAATCATTTACAACATTCGAAACTAACAAAAGGATAAAATCAGAAATCTCATTTGACCAAACAGTACTCTACAAAAATGTTACTTATCATGATCACAGGCAGTAGTGGTATTTTTAATGGCTAAATTGGATATTCCCTCATCTAAATATAGAATCAGACTCGTATTCAATTACCATACATTATAAACTTTTAACTATGCGTGCACATAAAAGTTATTGTTGCGCTTATTTTTGTATGCCATATTTCTCAATTTCTCTATCGCCTCAGTCAATATGTCATTTAACCGTTTAATAGCACAGTCAACGGTCAAGAGTTGAATTAAAATACTGTAAAATAGGATATATTACTATTCTCAATTTGAACACGCAGACATAAACTTCCAAAAACCCTTGTAAGTAAGATATTATGCATCAAATTATAAAAGATAATATATCAGGATTTGTTTATGATATTATTAATTGAAATCAATTTCAAATTCAAAGATATGTAAGACGTATAACTAAGATATTCGCTATCTCTACAATTACTTTCATCTCTATTTAAAAAAAAGACATAAATGAGTGTTCATCAGACCCCTGCAAGAATGGTAGTACCTGTAAGGATCTTGTAAATGGATATGAATGTACATGTGTTGCAGGATATGATGGAACCAACTGTGAAAATGGTAACATGTTCAAGTATATTGTAATTTTATAGACATATGGATAGTATCATTTCTTATATGTCAAAATAAAGTTTTTTTTAATTAATTGAATAGTGATAGTGTAATGATGTATTTTAAGTTTCATAATTACAACATCACCCCAACTCAACGAAATTATTTTGCGATTTTTTTATACTTGAAAAGATTCACATCTCGATTAATATTATATTTGAAAACAAAAGATTTTTATGCATACAAAACAGTAATCATTAATCGCACGCTTACCTTTCAATCTCTATTTCAATATGTAGATATAAATGATTGTTCCTCCGGCCCATGCAAGAATTTTGGTATCTGTAAGGATCTTGTAAATGAATACGAATGTACATGTGTTGCTGGATATGGCGGAAAGAACTGTGATAATAGTAAGACATTATCCTAAACTTAATTAACTACTCTTTTCATTTGGCAGGGTCTATCTTTATACATTCAAGAATTCATAAGAAAGATTAAGTCAACAAAAAGAAATGTTGTTTTGTTGTGTTGTTGTTTTTTTTCCATAAGAACGCAAATTGAAACGGAACAGTAAAACATACAATGGGTAACTAGATGACTTGTTTACTTTTTCAAAGTAACATGACATCATTCTCTACCAACATAAAAATACGGTTGCAAAATAAAAATGTAACTGTCTTTTCAAATGATATTTTTCTATGATGTCTCAGATATCAATGACTGCTCGTCGGATCCATGCAAAAATGGCGGTACCTGTACGGATCTTGTGAATGATTATGAATGTACATGTGTTGCTGGATATGACGGTACTCATTGCGAAAAAGGTGACATTTTATTGTTGTATTTTTGATTGTAAGAAATTTTGTAATTGTTAGAATTTGTATATTTAAAAGAATGTTAACTTAATAAAATGTTGACAAAAATAATAGCATAATGGCATGGTGCACATAATAGTTTTAGAAATATACAGGTTCGTCTAGCATACGAAAATAGTAGGACTTTGTATTTAAAACCTCATATAAAGGAACAACTTCGAAAATCTTATTTGGCCAGACAATGTTTTACTATTTTCAATACAGTAAATAATTATTAACGAGAGAAATACAAATTACTTTTATTCCCTACGTATGTAGACATAAACGAGTGCTCCCCAAATCCATGCAAGAACGGTGGTGCCTGTAGAGACTTTGTAAATGGATACGAATGTGCATGTGCTGCTGGATATGTTGGAACAAACTGTGATAACGGTAGGAAATATTGTGACTTGTAATAATTGATGAAAACTATTTTAACTGTGCGTGCGCGTGCGTGTGTGTCTTGCGCGTGTGTGTGTGTTTTGTTTTTTCTTCAGTCGTACTTAGGATAAAAGAAAGGAATTAAAAGATTTGCTCTTTGGTTTTCGTCGATATTAGTAATAAAGAAGATCGTTTCAAGGGCAAAAACAAACTTATAATTACTATTATCAAATTATGAAATTAAAAATCAATCATAGACCCATAGCGATTGTCAAAGAAGAACATCATACATGTATATATGACATATATAAATGAATTTATGTTCATATTAACCTTATTTTTCATATTAGAGCATCAATATACAGATATCAATAAATGCTCTTCAAGCCCATGTAAAAATGGTGGAACATGTGAAGATCTTGTCAATGGATATGAATGTACATGTGTTGCTGGATATGACGGCATTAATTGTGATAACGGTGAGGATCTTATAATCGTTACATTTTTACTTTTGCATGTCAATCGAAAAAGTTCAATCTTATAATAACAAAAAAGGCAATAAACAATAAATTTAAATATATACTCAAACAGTTCGTAATGAATTTTGATTTTTTAATTATTACTTGAAAGCAATATCGCAGTAAAAGACTTTAAACACCATTGACTTCGAGAAAAGTATTGGTGGTATTTACCTGAAAGGATCTTAAAATGAAAATGTGTTTACAGTTACTATTAAGTAGGATATTATTCATCAAAATATTAAAGATGATATATAAGGATTTGATTTTGACAATGTAACAAAAATAGTATTTCTGCAAATTTCAAGTTGCCTAAACAATCGAACTAAGATAAATTTTGTATAAGCTAAAATACAATGAAGTACTTTATGTTCTGAACTAATTGTGTAAATAAATAAAATTATATTATAGATAATAATCTTGTGAATAATGTACTTAAATAAAACGTTCCTTTTATTGATAGTAAATCTATACAAGTAAATCATTACTATAATAAGTTGTCTGTCGTGTGGAGGCCGTAAAATCACACCGTACATTAAATTAGAGTTATAAAACAAAACAAAACATATACACATAGAAAAGGTTAGTACGATAACTGACTTATTTACTCTTTCAGATATTAAATATGAAGAAAACAAGCCATTCTGTCTAACATCATTTTAGTAAACAAATAAAAATGTTTAGTAACATTTTTTTATATTTCGTCTCAGATATAAATGAGTGCTCATCGGAACCTTGTAAAAATGGTGGAACATGTAAGGATCTTATCAATGGATATGAATGCACATGTGTTGCTGGATATGACAGAACTAACTGTGACAATGGTAATATATTTTTGTTGTACTAAACGGAAAAAAAATTAAATTGTAACATCTAATGATCTTTTCTGTTGATATGGCAATGCGTGAAAAAATTAATACTTGTTTATCCCATTAAACACAGAATATGACAATACACTGCAGCAATACTGGACGTGTTATGCTTATAATTATAAAAAGAATGATATCAGTTTTAATTAAAACTATTTCATCATAACTGCTTAAACGACACTTGTTCATGTGTTGCTAGATATAATGAAATTTACTGTGATAATAGTGAATATTTCTATTAAATGTAATCGCCTGAAATTGTCATCGTTAGTAACGTTTCCATTTATTGTATCTTTTTTCAGAAGCGGAAATAGTTTGTATAGTATTAAAATAAACACATGAATTATCTATGCATTTTCAATAAATATCATAGTGTCTGAATTATAAATCTGTATGAAAAAGACATTTCAGTTTCAATTATGATGCGTACAGCTATTTTAATGTTAGGAAATTTATATATAAATCTTCCCATTTTCAATAAATTTCAAACTTGAATGTTCATCTTCTAACAAAAAATGTTAAAATGTAAGAGGCATTTGTACAAAATAAATAATACTTTTAATACTTTGTTAACCATGTAAGTATAATTGTTGTATATATGTGATATGATATGCCTGAATGTTATAACATTAAATGGCGCGATAGCTCAGTTGGTTAGACTACTGACTGTCACTCCTGATGTTCCGAGTTCGATCCTGGGTAACACCCTTGGGTTTTTTTAGAAACACTTTCAGTGTTTCCCACCTAACTAGAGGTGTACTGGTAAGAAATCCAGGTAATCCTCGCATGTATCAGTGCTAAACACTGGGCATGTAAAAGAACCAAGGAATCTATTCAATAAGAGCTAGGGACTAGTTCCCGGATTCCCTTGTATCTCATTGCTGTCTCTAGAGTCTGCTTAGGTAATGACCCTTGCTTGCACTTTCGTAGGTTATCCTTGACCGCCCGGTCCAAAGAAAATCCATCTATCTATATATCTATGCCTAAAAATATTATGTTATGTGCATATACATGTGTAATATATAGATATATAATCATTCCAAACTGTTGTAGATATAGATGATTGTTCAAAAAACCCTTGTGAAAATGGAGTAACGTGTAAAGATGAACTCAATGGATATAAGTGTTTATGTGCGGACGGGTATGAAGGTGACAACTGCAAAACTTGTAAGTTACTTTTTTCGAGTACATGTATATGTTTTGAAGTTAATGATAACAATCTGGTAACAAATATACTAAAATAGTTAGCATAGATGATAAAATGGTTAAATGTTAATCCGAAACTGTTTAATGAAAATGGAGTAGTAATAAGTGATTGAACACTTTTCTTTTTCACATCGAATTATTTATATATAACATAAATAATCTGGTTTTTATTTTAAAGTTTCACCAACAACAACCATGTCACCGGAAGCAAATCTTGCTCACACTACGATTTCTATGATATTTCCATTTCAATCAAAAATGAATATTACGGATCCAAAATTAAAGTTTGAAGTAACAACACAGGTATCAATTATATCTAAACAATCTTATGTAATGATACAAAGCAAGTGATGTAAAATCAACAAACAAATTTAACATTTCCATTTAATGTTTCAGCATTAAACATGCTCTTAAGTGAATGGTCGAGAACACATAGAAAAAAAATAAATCAGACGATATTCGACTTTGTTGTATAATAAACAAATTTCTTCACCTTGAAATTGTTTCTTGTGTTGTCTTATTCGCTGTTTCAGTTTAACAGAGTCTATAGTTGTTTCTCACTTCATTTCACTCACTTATTCACTGGTATTAGGAAGATTTTCCTTAATTAGAATATATATTATCATTTGAAATAGAAAAATCTTATCTTGTGTATTGAATCTGTTATCTTCATATAATTGGATTGTTACAGCTGACCAAGGTATATGAAGACAATATGGGGAAATCGTTAAAGGCCCTAGATTTATTACGATTAAGGTATGTTTGCTTTGTAAATAGCACCTATTATTTTCAATGTTTTAAGTTATTGTAAAGTATAAAGATAGATGTTTTATAATGTTTTGTGTCAAAAAAGGTAGTCATGTTTTCTCAAAACTAGTAAAAAAATACAAGAATATAATATAAAGCATTTTCTTTTCAATCAAAAGCCCGCGTCTCTTTTCAGTGTCGGAAGTTTAATAGTAGAATTTGAGGTTGTTTATGAGAATAAAACATCAGCTGCAAACGATCTAACGAAGGCAACTATTGCATTTCTGAATAGACATAAGACAATTGCAGTGTCTGATGAAACAGTTTCTGCAACTACCGTAGAGATAAATTCAATAACAGGTAAGTCAGTGTAATGATGTAATAATCTAATATCCAATTATCAGAACATGTGATTTTTTGTTATTTCATTAAACATCGTACTTATTTAGCTTAAATCTGATTTATTACAGTTACTTACGAAACTAGCTCGGATGAAGCGATTCTTTGTAAATTGTATGAAACACTACTTGGGCATTGTCAGGAAAATCAAAAATGTTCTGTAATGAAAGGGAATCCTTCCTGCGTGTAAGTATGAAATTACAGTTTTACTAACCACAGAACATTTCTTTATACAATGTAATGCTACTTGCTTTTCTTCCAATCAATGATATAAGCATGTTGTATTAAAATAGTATTTACAATAACAATGGACTTGTTTATCATATCAAAAATAACATGTTTTAATATGGACACTGGGTGTATATACATGTATATAATCTGTCCTTTGACATTCATTAAGTTCAAGAAACTTGAAATATAAAGATTTCAGTCACCTATTAAGAAATTATTAGCACGTAAATTGTTGGATTTTATAGTGTTTTCTTTTCTTATTTTAGTTTTAATGAAGAAAAGATCAGATGTAAGTTTATAAAAATCATACCAATTTTAAAAAAGATAACAAAATTGAATCGTTATAACATATATAGCATTAACTGTAGTATTTACAAATAAATTTTTACGTTTTTATTTTTTATTTATTTATTTATTTTTTTTTGTTAAGAAATGCTTATAATATTGAAACAATGTAGGTGGATACTTAATGTGTGAAAATAAAACAACAGACATAAAATTGTGGTTAGTATTATTGTTAGTAAGGAATAACCGTTGTTTTACTACATTATCTGGAAATCAAAAACAACTGTTTACCGTTCAGTATTGACATTACACATAAAGTATCTTCTTATTCTATATCAGCGGAAATTAAACATTTTCCTTTTCTAAATAGATATGAGATGTCATGGAGAAATATAATCGGACATTTTACTTATTGTTTAGCAATCGTAATAAACAAATGTCCATAAAGAGGAATGACTGGGTCATAATGTTTTCGTTTTATATTTTCAGTTGGCTTAACACTTGTCATTATTGTTGTTGTTTGTTCGATATTTGTACCAATCATCATTATGACAATCATCTGCTTAGCTATTCGAAAGAAATGCAACAAAGACAAACAATTCAAACGTTCTGAAAGCGTCAATAACGATTCAGAAGAGTAATGTCGGATTTTTTGCCATTTCTTTTATATTATTTTCGTATTATTGTAAAAATCTCATGTGATCAAATTGTATCAGTTAAAATTTGGTCATTGTTTCGTAAAATTCAAACAAAAGACAGAATATCTTTGAAAGGTTTTCTTTTATTAGCAAAGGAGTTTCTCGTTGAGAAACAATATCATATTTTATATAGTTTGAGGCCTATTTTGATACGGTTATAAAAAATTAATTGCTTTTACTAAAGGGATGTTTGGGCATAAATTACTGGGTAATATTAAATTACAATGACATATTTGCTTTCGCCTTTTTATAAAAATGTATTTTGTTAAAATAAAACAAACTATTTTCTTCAGGTTTGGGAAGTCACCTTACTGGAAAAACCCTAAATTAATGAGTTCCTTCTGAAGTCACCATAGTGGACGATATTTAACATCTGACAGATTACTCAAGAATAACAGATGTTTGCAATTGTTAAAATATTGTTTAAATTCCAAAAAAAAGAAACTCAATGATGTGGCTGTATAAACTTGAAGTTATTTGCTTTGCATGAGAGATTCTCCAGAAAGTGCTTGTATAAGTACCTTCATCATGTAATGCCATCGTCCCGGAAAATTACATGCATTGTAAACAAACACATAGCAAAACACATAAATTTTTTTCGTGTTGTATCAATCATGCATTGAAAGATAGACTTGATATAAAAAAAGACAGTTACTAATAAAATATAATTATTTCTGTTGTGTAAAGGAATTAGTTAAGATAAAATCAAAACATTCATAAAAATTGAGAATTGTTTCTTATATAGTTTTAAGAATAGCAAAATACATTACATGTTCATTTAGTGTGTATGTATATTATGTGTATGTATGTATAATCAAGTTCTTTACTGTTTCCATTTCATTTAATGAAAAATACATAAACACAAAGTGTACAAATAATTTATCTAAATAAACCACATATTCATTTTTCTTCACTTAGCGATTGCCTAAGTTCAGTTTTTGATACTACATAATAAATAGTAAAAATATGCCAAAAATACTTGGGTATTAAATATGTCAGCACTGTAGTGTTGCAATGCATTTTTGTTTGTAAATATTTGAGTATGTTTGTGTGTAATATGTTTTAAAAACTCAACTGTAGTACGGTATTCAATCTATTTATATAATTTGATTTTTATAAATTGTTTTCAAACTTGAAAGTTTTCATTTATCACTTTTTTCCTTGCATATTAATAAAATGCCATAAATATCTGAAATTAGAACATGTACCACAATCTGATAATATAAAAGTAATATGTTTATTTCTTTACACATCATGCCTCAGATATGAATCTTTATTCTTTAGAATGAATGGTTTAAGACATTTAAGATGCCAATCATCCGAAGAGTGTAGCGCTTAATGTGATATTATCTGTCTAAAAGTAGCAGTATTTTGACTTCCATGCAAAATGCTAAATCACTATAACCTACTAAATGTCAAAGGTATTAGAAGAATAAAAACATTTGACCAATGAGTTACTTTTTGTTAACAGTAACAGGACGCCAAAAATCAAAAATTAAAAAATAAATGAAAATAAAAGCATTTCTGGATTTCATAATATTCCTTTGATTAGTCAGTAAAGATTCGTTAAAATAAAGAATAAAACATATACATCCAGGACAATAAAAACAGGAAACAAATTGATGTTAATTACCCTCTTAGTTTGATTTAACATGCTTATAAGACATAAAAGGTAAAACATCATTGCACTAACGGACGAGTTCTGCGCCTCACCCACCTTTCGTTTAAGAAAAAAACATTTCTAGACTTGCGTTGTAATGCGTTCAATGAATACCGCCCTTCCTGTTGATATTTTGTGTGTACAATATAACCGCTAAAGCCATGGAGGATTATTTGTTATCATGTGCATTTAGGACCCTTTGTAATTTTATCTTGCAGTATATATAAATATATTAGACCCTTATTTAGTAGATAGTAACGACTTAGTTTCTTGTTGCCACGGCAAATTATCTCGTTTGCACGACTTTATTATCTCGTTTGCACGAATCGGTAACTCGTGGCCACGACATATTATCTCGTGCGCACCACTTAATTGCCTCGACCCACGTAACTGTGGTCACAACTAGTATCTCATGCGCACGAGAAAACTAAAAACACAAACATGTCATCTTTTTGCCACCGTAATAGAAGGCAGCTATTTTTACATTGTTTAATGAATGAAAGTGAATTTATATTTTCAACAAGAACATACATTATTTTCAATTAGATCTATTTATTATTAAATGTGTTAATTAATGTATCTGTTATTAACCCTTTCCCCCATGAGCATATTGTGAAAAAAGGCCATTTTCACTGAAAAGCCTCCTCTTACAAGTTCAAACTGCTATGAAACTATGAAAAATGCTGCAATACTAATCAAACTTGGCACAAATGTTGACTGGACCATTGCCTTTGTAACGACATGCTCAGCCTTAAATTTCCTGTTACCATGGCAACGAGGGACATCTCAAAATTGCCAAAAATCACTATTTTGCCTCGATTTTTTCCATCAAAATTTATTTCAAAGTGCTGCAACTTCTCAAGGGATTGAGATAGAGTCAAAGGCTTTTCAGCGTTGGTTACACGTTACCTTATGATCGACCTGGGGTCATTTTAAGCCTCTCGCAAGTCCAAAATTTTCTTGGCGATGAGGGGGACTCCGCCCCCCTTAAAAACCCCCAAAACAGAAGGGGGCACATCCCCCTTCTGGCAACCCATTGATGTATCTTTTGGATGGGGGGGGGGCGGCGCCGAAAAAGTGCTCACTTTTTTTGGCAACATTTCTCAAACGAAAACATGTGTTTAGGGCCCAAATAGGACATTTTTTCACTATTTCAGGCCTAAAAAAAAGGGGGGGGGTCGAAAGTGCGTTGTTTCGCGTATATGTGAGGTAAAGTGTTAAAACTTAATCGTCGTATAAGCGGGATAAAGTTACTCGTATTTTCTTCAAAAGTGTCTTCTTACCTATGATCTGGTATAACATAGATCTAGTATAACATAGATCTGGTATAACATTAATCCAGTATAACATTGATCTTGTATAACATTGATCTGGTATAACATTGATCTGATATAACATTGAACTGGCAATACATTGATCTGGTATAACGGTATAACATTGATCGGATATAACATTAATTTGATATAACATTAATATGGTATAACATTAATCTGGTATAACATTGATCGGATATAGAATTGATTTTATAAAACATTAATATGGTATAAAATTGATCTGGTATAAGATTAATCTGGTATAACATTTGGTATGTGAGATTAAAATGACTACTTAGACGACTTCATTAAAAAACTGAAATTAGTTGACTTCATTGAAATTCAGCTATAAATGTTATATGAAATTGAAAGGGTCCTTTTTCAACACATAATTTCATTTACAAACTTATTGTATTTTAAAAATATACACTTTTAATAGGCTCAATGTGTTTAAAATCATCTCCTAAATAACGGTAGTAGATCTGGGGTGCGTTTCATAAAGAATCGTAAGTCTAAAACATAAGACTAAAGTTAGGACTGGAATAAGATTGCACTTAGGAGCGTTTCAAGAAACTGTCTTAACTCTTGTACTTAGGATTAGTCCTAACTTTTTACTTAAGACAAAATCTTCCTAATGGAGATAAAAGTATTCACTTGTTCCATATCCTGTAATATGTCATTGTCATGTGAAAAAGTGTAGAATGGCGGATGATTAACTATAAAAATGCTGTAAAATTAACATTGTGCAAAAATATACATTAATATTTCTGATACATGTATTAACTTACTTCTAATCTCCTTCATATCATTAATGTTATAATTGTAACCTTGAGCACGAACAATTTTTTACTTTCCTTTAACATCATTCTTAAATTGCATATATTTTTTTGAAAAAATATTCCTTATTTAAATTTTACTCAAATGTAAAATATCCTCTTAATATTTATGAAGTATTGTAGAATAATGCTTCTATAGTATAAATGTACTAACAAACGCCGATAGCGGAGTTATTTATTACGAAGCATTTGAACGATTAACCGTATATTATTTTACTGTAACGTAAGAAAAGATAATATCTATTTCCATTCTAACATGGTAATAAAAAAGATAATCAATAAAAACATGTTGTATCATAGTTTGGAGACCTTTCTGTTGAAAATGTGTCAGGGTCAAATTGTATACATATACATGCACAGTGCGTTAACTGGAGTGCAGGTATTAGTTACCCGCACTCCAGAGCATGCCCATTGATTGGCTAATTTTTCTGGGGTTTACATATTGTGACGGCAGAGAAAGGGAAAGCGACAGAAATGTCATATCCAGATGTTCGTTCATTGGTTCATTTTTGCCGGGGTTTCATATTGTGATACAGGGAACGTGTTTTTATGTTTGACTATGATACAAAAGAGAAAGAACACCAAAACACTCGGCAATCTGATTTATACTCGGGGGCTACGCCCCCTCGTACAAATCAGATAACCTCGTGTTTCGGTGCTCTTTCTATTACTTGAACATTATTAAGCATAGAAGTAATTTATCTTACGTCATTTGGTTTATATGACGTCATATCTGACTTTATATTATGGGTTATCTTTCCTTTTTCATGCCATGCATAATTATTTATGACTAATGCACTTGACTGCTTTATCTGTTTATATAGGGGAATAATGTGAAGCGTGTTTGAATTTTATAGATATGTAAGTATTAAAAATTACTGAATCTTGAAAATAAAACATACGCCAAACTAAGTCCGGCAAAGCCATATCAGTCACAATGTCAGTCATAGGCCTAAATACTATGAGTACTGAGTAGTATAGATTTACTAATTAATAAAACATATCAATACACTGGTTAGCAAAAATGAACATGTTTATTTTAACAAAATTTTTATTTACCTTAAAAATATTTAATTAAGTCATATACACGTAACCAATACTTATTATAATTCATATTGAATCAGTGTAATTATAACAAAAAAATATTTAATATTACAGGTATTAAAATCCTTTTCTTCACTTATGACCTTTATTTTAACATATAGAGAATAAAACAGGAGCTGCAATGTTTTTTCAGCACTTGTTTTTGTTTTTATGACTTGAGACAAAAGTTAGGAGTGCCCTGAGGCACCTATAGGAATAGTCCTAAGTTTAGTCTTAAGATTGTACTTAGGACTTTTCTTGAAACGCAGTTTTATCACAGTTTTGCACTTACGACTAAAATCGGTCCTAAGATTCTTTATGAAACGCACCCCTGAACTTTAGTCATATTGACTCAATGTGATTATATTACTGAACCACTTAACTTTGATATATTCCCTGATTCTATTTATTCTATATAAAACATTCTATTTCATTTCTTATCAAATATAACCAATGAACTACTTTAAGGGTTTGGCCCAGTGATGTTGATATAGAAATCATTATCAGATCCAAACTTTTAGCCTCTTACCCATTTATTCCAGTATACCTTTT